ATCCCCACGAGCCTCCACCGAAAGTGGTGGGGCCTCAACCTCCAGTTCCTCCTGGTCTTCTTGTGCACGTTTGTACAGATTGTCATCTGCGTGATTTGGCTGTACACAGCCCCGCCATCCAGTTACCGAAACCATGAACTGGAGGATGAGATTATCTTCATCACCTGCCATGAAGGCTCCCTCATGGCCCTTGGCTTCCTCATTGGCTATACTTGTCTCCTGGCAGCCATCTGCTTCTTCTTCGCCTTCAAGTCTCGAAAGCTGCCTGAGAATTTTAATGAAGCCAAGTTCATCACCTTCAGCATGCTGATATTCTTCATTGTGTGGATCTCCTTCATCCCTGCATACGCCAGCACATACGGCAAGTTCGTCTCTGCCGTGGAGGTGATTGCAATATTGGCTGCCAGCTTTGGGCTTCTGGCCTGCATCTTCTTCAACAAAGTCTACATCATCCTCTTCAAGCCCTCCCGCAACACGATCGAGGAGGTGCGCTGCAGCACAGCTGCCCATGCTTTCAAGGTGGCTGCCAGGGCCACGCTGAGACGGAGCAACGTGTCACGCAAACGCTCCAACAGCCTGGGGGGCTCCACCGGATCCACTCCTTCCTCCTCCATCAGCAGCAAGAGCAACCACGAAGACCCCTTTCCTCTACCAGCCTCCGCTGAGCGGCAGCGCCAGCAGCAGCGTGGCTGCAAGCAGAAAGTCAGCTTCGGGAGCGGCGCGGTCACCCTGTCACTGAGCTTCGAGGAGCCGCAGAAGAACGCCATGGCCAACAGGAATGCCAAGCGCAGGAACTCCCTGGAGGCTCAGAACAGTGATGAAAGCCTGATGCGGCACCGGGCCCTGCTTCCCCTGCAGAACAATGAGCCCCTCAGCGCTGAGCCCAGCTTCCAGGCAGCTTCCAGCCCAGAGACCAGCTCGCAGGAGTCAGTGGTAGGTGACACCAAAGAAGAGATACCAAGCCCTGAGGTGGAGCCTTCCCTGCCATCAGCTAACTCCCGAAATTTTATAGGCACTGGAGGTGGCTCTGTAACAGAGAACACGGTACATTCCTAACAAAAGAAGATCATGAAAAGCACAACAGCCCCCAAGAGGAACTTGCTCACCTCTTGCTTCTGAATGGGAAAGATAACAAAGACACATTCCTGTGACACAGCCCCACCAAACCTTACTGTTAGCACTGGCAGGGTAACACACGTGTCTCCAGAGGAAGGACTGTGTCTGGGGAGCCTTGGACTGGATTTGCTTTCGCTTTATTGAAACCAGGACATCTCAGAAGGACAAGTGAAGATCGCCTCTGGTGGGGCTTAAGCAGAAGTCTGCATGCTGCCTTGCCTCCATAAGCTTTTCCCACCAGACTGCAACTCAGCTGACTATGGGAGGCACTAGGCAATTCCATTATACTCTGCTTTTACATTTATGTATAATATTCCTCTTTCCCACTATGTATAATACTCCCTCTTTATCCAGTATATGTGATCTGTAACCATGTGCATCAGGACTCCCAGCTCTACCAAAAGCAAGGTACACGGTTTCACTTGGGGAAAGCACGGTCATGGGGAAAATAAAAAAGCCCCCAACATCCTGCATGCTGTGTACAGCCAAGGGTGTGAAAATGTAAAGTATTTAATGTGACAGAGCGCCCTGCTATTTATATTTAGTAATGTCCCAGTCACTCCCTTCTGCCCAGCAGGAAATACTGGACAATAATCTTCATAGACTCCATTGCACTAGCCCAAGCTACTGGGTTCCTACTGGTTTCCTTCAGCTGAGGTAGTTTTACCTCCAGCCTGCCTGCTTTAATGGAGGGGGAGAACATCTTATAAATCCCTCCCAGAGAACGTTGTGAGAGCACAATGAGATGTATCCATGATCAATTATGTCACTAGTAGTTGTATGCTTAACAAAGTGTTGCTGCTGTAATATTCCACATGGCATACATGGCTAACCCTTTTGCACCATAGTCAGTGTTGTGCTTTGCCATATTAATCTGCCTTGCACCTACACAGAGCATTGAGCTAATTGTGATGATACGGTGGGCCTGATACAAAGCAAATGAAACAAATGAAATTGAGTTAGGTGTGGAGAAGTAGCCTCCAGGTGTGGTAATATGACTGCAGGAATGGATGAGCATCTAAGTGTGTGTGTTGGTACATGACTGGATGAGGAAGATGTACAGGCCTGGGCTCTGAGACACGCACAAAGACAAATGGATAAATCAGATATGTTTTGGCTCCTATAGGCCACCTATTAGGTTATTTCCCTCCTGGCCCGTCTTGAATAGAGGGCACTTAGCACAAGAAGGGTGGACTGTACCTAAATTGAAACTGTAAGGACTTCAGAAGAGAGCATAGCAGAACTTCATTACTTTTGTCCCATTCCCCCAAAAGCAGACATAAGTGCTTCTGGTTTTGCAAGGCACGCCTGGTTCTTCTCCATCCATGCCTGAAAGGCTGAAGTAAGAGAGTCATTAGAAGAGAAATGTGGCGCAGCCTGATGAGAGAAAAAGCACCGCTCAACAGCCTAGCAGGAGGGGGGCAGGTTACACTGCAGAACTGATTTCCCTGTTCCCAGATCCCATGTGCAAGAACAACTGTCTGACATGAAGATGTCAGCACCCTCCCTCATCAGGCGTAAAGGTAGTCTTAACCAGTATGGAAAGGTCTGCAGCCTAGTGTGAGCAGAGATGAAAGGACTATGTGAACACGTTAGGGAAAATACCACAATTCTCTTGTTACTGTTTTTGCTTGGTTGTTCTTTTGCCAGGGCAGGAAATAAAACTTACAGGCAACATTACTGCATAAAAACTTTGTTTTGCCACCTCCACTTGTTGCTGACTGAGAACAGGGGCTTTGGTTTAGGAGAGCAAAATGGAAGTCCAGAAGCCCAAGAAGTATGCTATTCAGACAAGTTATTTTAGCCTGTTTGGTGATCTGTTGCATCCCCCCACAGAATGGGCTCAAAATTTCATTGCAGCACATAAGAACCATCTGACTTCAACTGTAAGGCCTGCAAACTACAAGTATTTGAATTTCAAGAGCTCTGTTTCAAACTCAAAAAGAAAAAGTAGTTTGAAAACACAAATCCTTGTGGCCACAGTTTTGGAAACCACATTCCATCCCTGGACCCACTGAAAGTTGCTAAAAAAAAACCGGTCCCTTCTTACCATGGCTTCTAGGTTTAGTTTGGATTATGGAATCGAGATCCTTGGTCTCCTCAGTCTGACTGCACAAATGGAGATAGGCACTAGGTGGCAGAAAGGGCTAAAAAAAGTACTTCGGCTACGGCCCGCACTTCCCAAATTATCAGCAAGCGAGTAATTTTAGTGCTAGTGAATCCTTCCAAACCCAAACTGAAGCGAAACTGACAGCACTGAAAGCAGAGAAGAGCTTAATGAATGAAATGAAAATGACACAAGACACAAACCAAAGACTGCACAAACACATGCAACATGAAAAACAAAAAGTCACCCTCAGCTGCTTCGGTTGGAGAACAATACTGGCTAGGCACACAGTAGGTAATGTTGACATTTGGGTGGTTTTCATTCTTTGGGTAGTTTTCATTCTTTGGATGTTTTTTTTTACTTCTTTACATCTACTTAAAAGGAATTTATAGCCTGGCACACAATGAGGCTCTAACAGCTGCCATAATATTACTGCAACAGACCAACCGTGCTCAGTTTGCTGGGGAACCCCCATTTACCTCCAGTGCACACCCACCTGGAGTTCTAAGCCTCAAGCCCCACACACTGTGTGAGAGCCTCTCCTGCAGCCTGTAAACTGACACACGCACTAGATGCAAAGAAAGTTAAGCAGAAAAGGACCCCCTCCGTGAAGGGGTTTGAAGGCAGACCCCTTTTCCCACGCACAGAGGAGGGTGTATGTTCTCCTCCTGCCAAGTCCAGCATAAGAGATTTGCTCAGACACCCACCCAAAAGCCGGTCACTCAAAAACCAGTGTCACACAAGACAATACTGATGTTGGGTAACACCTTTCTGTTGAAAGCTCAAGCCTGAGAACCTCCACTGGCATGTCCCACTAGAAGCTGACCATGTGAATGGTTGCCCCATCCCCACCCCAACACCTACCACGGCTCAAAAACCTACTGGGAAGCATGTGCCACTGTGGTGTTTCCTGAACGAACCAGCAGCAAAGCAACAACAGAGTGTATGTGCTCTGTGGTGGCATTTCTATTGGCAAACTTGGTTCACAGGCAAGGAAATGTCCCAGTGAAGAGCCCGATCTTTCATCCTCACTCTGCTCACAAACCTGGCAGAGCTCTGCCTTCCCAAAGCCCCAGCAGGATGGGTATTTGCCCTCCACAGAGGAGAGAGATGATACCAGAGGAAAGATACCCTGCTTCCTCGTTCTGTTTCATGCTTCTCACCATGTCATCCGTATCAGTGCAGAACATCCATCCACTATGCAATACCTCCTGCTGCGAAATTTAGGGTTGTATTTACGAATTTTCCAAGGGGTACTGGGAAGCAGGGGGGGAGGTAGGGTTTTGTTCTTGTTTTCCCAAGAAATCCGGATGTTTGGGGGGAAATATAGCTAAAAAGCTGCACGTTCAGACTGCAGTCTCACCAAGAGGGGTCTCAAAAGTTGGATAATTCAACACTGCCTTCAGTTTGCTGGGTGAGGAACAGCAAAATCAGCCGGGGAGAGGGAACAACGTGGTGAACGAGGGAGTCCCAGCCATGGAACTTGCCATGGTAAAGCGAAAGGTGGCAGCTGCTGGAAAACGTGACACACTGGGAAAGACAGCAGCCACAGTGGAGGCGAGGACAACCCTCGTGTGGACCTGTCACGGCGGTGTCACCGGTGGGGCCGTCCTGCAGGAGCTTTTATTGCGATTCGCTTGTAGCTTTCCCCTCTTCCCCCTTCCTGCCCAGTCACCGCAGGGGGGCGCCGCTGTGCTGTACCACAACCCCCCCAGCCCGCCTGCCCCCTGCTGCCGCAGCACTCGCTCAGCTCGCCGGACCCCCCGCCCCCGGACCCGCCCGGTGCTGCCTCCGATCCCGCCCCGCCACCAGGCCCGCCCCCCCGCCGGGGAGGAAGGGGTCGAAGCAGAACGGAGACGCTTCCACCATGTTGTGCGGCGGCGCCTCGGCGGCCCGGCCCGCCACCGGCGAGACGCAGCAGATCGTGGACGAGGTGAGGGGCTCGGGTGAGCCGCGGGCCCCGGCAGGGCCTGGCGGCGGTTGTCTTGGGGTTGCGCCCCTCGGGCCTGTTGGCGGTCGGAGCCCGCCAGCTTGGGCTGCCGCCGGGCTGGGCCTCCCCGGCGGGGGCCGCACCAACCGGCGGTAGGTTTGAATGCGCCGACCGGGCGCGATCCCAGTGCAGGGGATGGCGGGGCCCGGGTGTCCGTGTGCGCAGGTGAGCGCGGAGACGCCTTTACTGCCATGAGGGTGAAAGCAGGAAGGCTGCCAAGCGGCGGGGATGTGTGCGCAGTCACTGCCTCTCTGGAGCCCGCCCTCCGCCCGCTTGGCCGAGCGTGGCTTTGTTCAGAGCAGGTTCAGCACTTTAGAAGGACGTTAGTGAGGATTTAGAGGACCCGTAGACAGCGTTTAAGTGCTCAGGGAGAGCTGGGGCCAGCCCAGCTCCATTGCTGGCTGTGCAGGTGATGTGTTGCCTACCAGCGTCCGTGCAGGCGCACGGGGCAGCTCTAGCGTGTGCCTGTTCTTGAGCTTGAGGAAGGACCTCAGGTGGTTTTTACAAGGTCTAAACACTGTAACCACGTTCGTGTGTTGGGGTTTGGTTCCTTGTTTGTTCGGGGGGGCTTTTGGAGGGTGTCAGGGGATAAGCAAAAAAACTGCCGCTTCTGCTTTTTCCTAACACAGAATTAAGCTCTAATCACTGCCAGCTCCAGCTCCTGATATTACTTACAGTAACTTAAGTACTGCCTATATTTTTACTCTGAAAATGCCAGTGTACAGTTTAAGTTGTTTCAAAGCACGTGGTGGTGTTGCAGTCCTGAGAAACCCAAGTTCCCTCTGCTTTTTGGTTGTAGGTAGGGTGTGTCAAGCCAGTGAAGACAGATGAAGGATGAGCTCCAGCTTTTTATGTGCTTTGTCATTGTTTATTCCCTGGGTTTATTCCCCAGGCTGCAGCTGTTTCTAAACACCTACAGAGTGCCCAAAGGCACAACAGTCATTGAATTTAACATTTAGCTTGTAGAATCTGATGATTTTGCATTTAAAAAAGAGATGTGCATCTCCTAAGCACCAGCCTGGGGTTGCAGTAATGATTACATTACTGAGAGTTGCTGAGAGAGTCACAATTACTGTTTTGACCTGACATGTCCTACATGTCGTGTTAATGGTAATGCAAATATGCAGTTAGCATTGCACAGGGGCTGAACACTAGGTTTGAAATCCTGATTTTCTGTTCTGTGGCAGGCTGCAAGGGGTTGGTAATCCAAAACTGAGATGAAAAGTATAAAAACAACACCCAGTTGGATTCAGAAGTGAACATAATTAACAAAAATCTGTTATCTTCATTTAAATCACACAAACACTTCAAAGTTTGTCCAGCTTGTTTTGACTGCCAGTTTAAATTATTGAAATACGTGTGGGAAAACCCAAAATGTCAGAGACTGTGAAGGAAACATTAGTTCTGTTAAATAAAGGTAGATACCTCAAATCGGTTTGTTTGCTTAAAATCAGATCTTTGTGGAGATTTGTTACAACCTGACAGTACACTTGCCATAAATACATTTCCAGTTCTTGCCTCCATTGTATTGTTTCATAAGAACTCTGGTGATGACCAGATGTGGCCCTGGCAGGTACTGCTGCTCACCTAGAACAGGTACAGCATGAGGCAGAGCAGAACATCTTCCTTCTGATGGTGTCTGGTTTAGGAGTCCCATAGGCACTGCATCTGTACTGCAGGGATTTCCACCCGAGCCTGTTCAGCCTTTGGCTTGTCACCGGCAGCTGTGGCAGAGGTTATTCAGGGTGATTTTGAGCCATCTGCATTTTAGTAACTGCTCCAAGACTAAGCAAAAGAGCCACACTGAACAACAGTAAATAGCCTTTGGGGTATGATCATTTTCAGCCCTGTCATTGAACCACAGATTGTTTGGGTGGAAAGGGACTGCATCTTCTGCCTGAGTGCAGGGTCAGCAGCCTTGGGCTCCTTGGGACTTTGTCCAGTCACGTCAGAGGATGGGAACTGCAGAGCTTCCCTGAGCAACCTGCTGTAGTGCGAGAGTGTCCCCAGGGGAAAAGCTTTCCTTATACCCAGTCTGAACCTCCAGTTTCCATTTATGATCATTGTGTCCCATCATTCTGCCATCAGCCCTCAGTGACCTGACTCCTTGTAGGTACCGGAAAGCCTCAATGCCTTCTCCAAGCTGAGCAAGCTCATTTTCTTCTCACAGCACGAATGCTCCAGACATCTGAGCTCACTACAGTTTACTGACATCTTTCTTGTATTGCAGGCCCAAAACCGGACACAATATTCCAGATGTTCTCCAACAAGTGCCCAATAATTTCCTGCCTCTCTCTTCCAGCTAGGTTCCTGCTGATTGTTATTGTGTTACTGGGGCAGAGTGCTGGCTCATACTTAGTGCATTGCCCACCGGGACCCCCAGACCTAGACGGAGATCATGAGCTAGCAGGGTGGGCTGATACCAGATCTTGCAGAGTATTTCCCTCTGGGCTCTCCCTCTCCATACTGAATCAGGATGCTCACTAGTAACTAGTAACATGTTGTGGTGAGTCACTGCCATAAGCTTCCAGCCACATCCGGCTCTGAGCTGTCTGTGGTCATGGAGCCCAGTGGTCAGCTTCCTGGTGGAAATACAAAATGTGCTGAGCCAGAGCGATTCTGAGACTACGAAACCAACCTTGTACAGTGCCTAGGACTGCTAAAGGAGCACAGGGCAGGATAGGGTCAGTGGGATACTGATGTCTGCCCTCTCCCCTGCTTGAGATTTGTAGTAGTAGCTCTGGTGATGACAACTGAAACCACTTGCTCCTTCCTCTGACTCAGGGGAAAGAAAAAGTGGAGGACTGAGTCAGTGTGCTTTCTGGCCTGTCCCCTTCCTTGTATCTTAGAATGCAAGCTTGTTGGGTGCACTTTGATTTCCATATGGCAAAAAACATGTACAAAAGCATCCAAACATCATTATCCTACTTTTGATGTACTGTTCATAGCTTGGAAGAAGTGTAGAGACCTCTGAGAGAAGGGGTGCAGTATGGTCATGGCTCCCAGGGACAGGTTGGTCACTGCTGAGCTGTCTTGGAAAGGCACCAGAGTCTAGTCCTGTGTCTTCTCAGTGCTAGGAGAGGTGGGAGAACGTACCCTGTAGCAGGAACTGTTTCTGTTCCCACTTCACCAAGAGTAGTGGTAAACTGGCACTTGTTTTCTCCCAAGGAAGTAGGTGGAATTCAGGCAGGAGAGCAAATGTATTTATTCCCCTTGAATTTAGGAAGAAGGGGAAGTACACCGTATGACTGGAAAGTGAAGATCTGCTCACTGCTTGGTACAGTTGCACTCAGAGTGGAGGGAAGGCTACATAATGATGCAGTGCAGGAGCTAAGGCCTGGGTAGAGCTGTGCTTGCAGCAAGGACTTCCAAGACTAATTCATCTCACCCTTATAAACAAAGCCTGAAATCATCTGCTTTCCTGACCAGGAATTTCACCATCTAGCCATGATGTTCTAGAGAGTCAAGCATGGGAGAGAAAAACTGCAACTCTTACAAGTTTGTGCCTCCCTCTGGGGTGCTGGACAAGTTATTCTGACTTCTGGAGCAATGGTTCTACACTCTGAAAACTCAGTTGATAATTCAGAAGGCTTTATGGTTCTGTTATTTTTAGGAAAATATTTGCAGTTTTAAAATGCTACAGATTCCAGCAAATATGGCAGAAGTACCAAATAAGAGCTGTAAAAGCCTAGGCTTGGGTAGTTTGCTTTCAAAGCTTGATTTGTGGACAGATGTCTGTTCTGTGATGCCAGATCAGTAAGAACTCATTCTGAATTTGAAAAGGGAGCTAATGCAGAAGCAGCCCTTTTTCTTTTTGTAAAAATGATGTATATTGAAAACTTCTCTTTAAAAATGTGTAGTCCTGTGCATTTAGATACTGAACCACTTTACATTTGTTAGATATAGAGGACAGAAAGAGAAGCTGAGATATCAACAGAGGAAATAATTTGTCAAATAAATCTGGAATATGCTCACAGTTCTCTGTTGGAGACTCCAGCCTTGGCGACTGAATCGCACCGCTGTCCTGGCTTTGCTTCTGTCTACATTTCTGGACCTGCTTTAACACCAAACTTAGCATTATTCATTTTTTAATAACTTAAGAAAAGCAGGAATTCTCTGTGTGGGAATTCAGCAGCAGTGACCTGAAGGGTGCTGGAGCACACTGGTAGTGTAAGCTTTAGGTCCTAAATACTTGAATCAGCCTTAAATAACCTGTTGTTTCCTTAAGGTGAAATCTCAGCTAGAAGAAAAAGAAGGGAAAACCTTTGATGTCTTCACTGCCGTGGAGTTTAAAACTCAGGTGGTTGCTGGAACAAACTACTTCATCAAGGTAAAGGACACTGAGCAATGAGGCTTTATTTTCCTTTTTAAATAACATGTATAATATTTGGAGTAGTGGGGTTTGCTTTTTTGTTCTGGTTTGGGTTTTTACTTTCCTAGAGAGGGTTGCTTATGATTTGGCCTGAATAGGAAAAAACTCTGTCCATTTAAAAATACGCCAATGTTAAAAAACCAAAATTAATAATCCACCCACCACCCAGCCTGTATTAAATGGAGATAAAAATACTTCTCTGTTTCCATAATCGTTTTTACTTTTTCGTTATTCTCTGAAGCTTGGTTTGGGGGATAATTACACGTGTGTGATGTCGAGCACTAACATTGCATTAAGTGAAGTTCAGATGTGCAAAGCCACAAGAAAGCATCCAACCTGCTCTGACTTTGCCTGTAGTGCTGCCAAACAACAAACCAAGCACTTGTTGTGCCAGATAAGATGAGAGCATTTTGCATGTATTTAATGCAGTAATCACTTCTCTGCAACTCCTGTCTGATTCCCTCCCTGTATGTTCCCTATCTCTGGTATAGAGAGGATTAACAGGCAAAGAAGAATTAGGTGGTGTTTCCACAGTCATGACTCTGGTTTAAAACAAGACCTTACTTTCTGAGGTGATGGGTTTTCTTACTACTTCTCTGCTTCTCCATCCTTGAAACACACCAGTCTAAGGCTGCTGTTACTCCATGGAGTAACTCACTGGTTTTCATGCTTTGCAGGTCCATATTGGCAATGATGAGTTCATGCATCTGCGGGTGTTCAGAAGCCTTCCTCATGAGAATAAGCCACTGAGTCTCCACAGTTATCAGAGCAGCAAGACTAAGCATGATGAACTGTCTTTTTTCTAGCAAGCTTATCTTGGGTCTTTTATTACGGTTTCTTATGTGCATTTGCTATAGGCTGCAAAGTATTGATTCCTGTGCCAACAAAGGAGAAAAGAAAGTATCTTCTTTTTTTTTAACTTAATGCTGGGGAAAACATCCATGTTTTTTATGCCATTCCCTTCCTCTGCAGCATCTAAATTTGAGTCACATGGCTCTCCTTTCACCTTCACCAATGCAAACCCAAGTGGCTGCACCAACTTCAGTGCAACTTAACTGGAATACTGTGGCTGAGTCCCATTTGTGGACTTCCTTGGTCTGGAAATTGGAAGGGGACTGACACTAGCACTCGTGTATTTGCAGCAGGGAGCAAGAGGAAAGCCTGAACCTTTTCTGTGCTGTTCTGCAACTGTGAATGTCTCTGCAGATTCAAATTGTACTATATATTTTATTGGGAATTACCTGAGGAGAGACTTGAGCTGAAGCAATTTTGAAAGTAAGAGGAGTGCATCTTTTGTAACAAACATTCCCTTGGTAATCATGTTTATGCTGTTGCAGCAGTAGAATATAATGTCTAGTAGAGGGTGTATGAGTTTAAAAGAACCCAAAAATCTTGCTTATTTTCTCAGTCCTAAAGAAAAGTCCTGGAAAGGAACTTAAGCTGGACAAGCATTTCTGCACTAATAACAATAAATATTTCTCTTGACTTGACATGGCATATTTTGACTGGTATTTCACTGTTCTCTTTACTGGTTTTCAGTATTGGTTATTATCTTGCTCAGATTTTTTCCCCATATTTTCGTATGGGAAATACGTTTTTTTCATATTTCAGATAACCTTATGTTTCTTCTATGTCTTAATTAGAAATATGTTAATCTGATGAGAGACATGCCAGGTAACAAAGACTTCTGCAATAGAAGGCACACTAAGGAAAATGGGTTCAGTGGAGCAGGGACCTACCGGCAGAGGACACAGAAGAGACTGAGGGATTGAGCACTGCCCCTGTCTCGGCTTTTTTCTGGTAGGACTTGCTTTCAGGAACTTGAAACTAAGAGGAGCAGAAAAGCCTGGAGAACAGAAGAATTCCCTCAGCAGAGCTGGATCAGGCTAGGGAAATATTTAAACTGGCTGGACTTAGGCAATGCCATGGGGTAGGATGGGATGCATCCATGGATGCCACACTCAAAAGTCTTTGAAAAGTCATGGGCATGAAAGGAGCTTCCCAAGGACTGGAAGAAAGAAAATGATGCTCCTATGTTCAAGGAGCATCTGGAGAAGTACAGGCTCATCAGCCTCACCTCAGTCCCTGGAAAAGTAGTGGAGTGAATAATGCTGGAATTCATTTCCACAATTATTAAGGACAAAAAGATGACTGGAAATAGTGTGGGCTTACAAAGGCGAAATCATGATTAATCAATGTGATAGCCCACTAGGATGAGATAAATGTCTTGGTAGAGAAGGGCTGTGGATGTTATTTACCTTGATTGTTAAGTATGCCTTTGGATACTGTCTTTCATAGCATCCTCATATGGAAACTAAGGACATGCTAGGTAAGTGGACTGCAAACTAGCTGAATGGCTGTGCTCCAGAAGTTGAGGACCGCCTAGTCCGGCTACATGTCAGTCCCTAGTGGTGCACCATAGAGGCTGATATTGGAACCAGTGCTGTTTAACATCTTCATCAGTGACCTGGACAATGGGACCAAGTGCACTCTCAGCGTGTTTGCAGATACAAAACCCAAAGGAGTGGCTGATACACCTGATGTCTGTGCAGCTGTTCAGAGGGATCTCAACAGGCTGCAGAGGTGAGCAGACAGGCATCTTGCAACTGTCAGCAAAGGGAGGTACACATTCCTGCACCTGGAAAGGAAAAAGCAGGCTGGCTGGAAAGCAGCACTGCAGAAAAGGAGATGGGATTTGTCCCATCAGACACCTTGTAGCAAAGGTGACCAGTGGTACGCATGAGCTGCATTAGGAAGGGCACTGCCCTCTCTCACCTGGTTCTCGCAGGTGTAACTGGGGGGAATGGTGATAGTGACAGATCACTTTGACACCCCAGAGACGACTCTTTGACCCTAAATTAATTGACAGCACGTTCAGCTCTACCCCATTTTACCAGCTTTCGGATATCCTTTCAAGACCTACACCCGCTAGTGATCATTTTGCTCAAGAGCTAATTTATGAGAGGAACTTGCTTCAGAGTACTCTTATGGACGGAAAAGAACAGCTTTTAATCAGGGCTGCTCATTAGCAGCTGCAGCAATCAGTCTCACAGATCCCAGCCACATGTAGCCTTTTCTCCCAGAAAAGTTAAAGGATTTGGAGACAGAGTCAGGTGGCTGCAATATAGTAGGGATAGAACAACCCCAGCAGCCCTGGCCAAAAGGAATAACTTAATAAAAGGTGCCTTTCAAAGTAATAGTTTTCTAGAGCTAAATTGTTAAAGTATTTATGATCAGGCTTTCTAGGTACTTTGTGTGGTGCTTTCTACTGACCACGCAGACCTGTTCTATGTTTACACATCTTAATGATTGTCTTCTAAGTGTATGTAGGAATTGAATGACGTTTATGACAGAAAACCAATGCAGTTCTGTGTAGTAGCAAATGATTTAATTTCTGATGAAACTGTAGGCTTTTGTAGTGTTTGTGTGTTTTTCTGGTTGGCAGTTACGAGTTGTATTCTCTCTGCAGCAAGGCTTGTACACTTGATTGGAGAGAGGAGGGGCAATAGGATGGTAGATGCCATTGTTTAAAAAGAAAACCCCAAATATTGCTACCTTATCCATTATAAAATCAGGTGAGTTTTGTGGCCTAAGCCTGACACTGAGATTTTGCACTGGAATAAACTCAATACATCTAGGGCAGGTTAAAAGTATGTGATGTGGGATCTGTTTATATAATTAAGACTTGGGGACCTTACAAGTGCTCGATAGCAACATATAAATGGACAGGCCAGGAGACTGGAACAAAACTTGGTTTTTCCCTCAGGAGTTCCTGAGCTCTGGATATGTTAAAAGGAAAGTTCTGCTTTGCTGATTTAGCGAGAAAAATAGAATTGAGATTAATAATGCATTCTGGAGATGACAGGCTATGGAAGGGAACAGCCATGCTTTGCATGCTTCGCTGTGCCTGGCTTTTTCTCCCCTGGGAGTCTGCGGGTGCAGCGTGTCTGTGGTGGTAGCAGTGACTGTTGTTGCCTGCACCTTCCTTTGGAAAAATCCACAAGAGTAATTGAGGAAGTGGGAGATGAGCTCTTTGTGAAGCTGTTGGGCTGTTTATGTCGAAGTGTTGCGCTAAAGCTCTGGTTTAGCACAGCTGTGCGCTTTAGAGCGTGTGACGAACAGCACACCGCTTTCCTGGCGGCAGTGAGAGGTGATAGCTTATTCGTTCTCCCTGTTGTAGGAACCGAGCTTAGCCATGTAGTTTGCCTAGACTTCACTTGTAGGCCATGGAGTACAAGACTCTAAAAGTGAGTTAGTCAGATGATTTAGGCTTGGCTCTTGCTCTTTACTGTAAGGGTGGTGAGGCACTGAAATGCGTTGCCCAGGAAAGTTGTGAATGCTCCATCCCTGGCAGTGTTCAAGGCCAGGTTGGTCAGAGCCTTGGGTGACATGGTTTCGTGTGAGGTGTCCATGCCTATGGCAGCGGAGCTGGACCTGGATGATCTTAAAGTCTATTCCAAGCCTAACTATTTCCTTCCTAATTATTTCCTTCCATAAGGAGATGATAGAAAACACCCCTCTTTTACCTGTCATTGGAAGGTCATTCTAGTAACTAACTTATGCCCCATCTAACTGTACTTACATTAGCAATTTAATGTAAGGTTGCCACGGTTTCCAAAATGCACCTTTTACTGGTGCATTCTGTATGCTGTCTTTCTGCTTTGCATGCTTCAAGTTTTCAGTACAGGGGATCAAACCTTTAGCAAAGCCTACCTAACAATTCTCCTGACGTCTTTCAGCCCATATAAATCCAACAACAGAGACATCTTTAATGAGGGTAACTAAGAATATTTCTAGAGGTTTCCATCTGCTTAGTGAGGATTGCAAAGTTTTCTTTGAGGAGCCTCAGACGAGGTCTGGAACAAGATTTTGGTCCAGGAAACAGTAATGCAGCTAAAAACCAGGCACTTTTGTGTGCACGAAGTCTAACGTCATACAAATAACCATGATACTGGGAAATAAAGGGTTAACATTGTGCCTGCTTTCTTAAGCAGTCGCTGTGCTTGGTGAAGCAGAACTGTAGGAGGCAAAGTTGCTAGAATGGTGAGGCAGAATTGTAGGAGTTACAGCTGCCAGGCAGAATTGTAGTAGATAAGATTTATAACTTAATATTTGAGACATTCTTGTTTAAATAGTATCTTTAGAAAGAAAAGGAACAAAAGACAGCCAGAGTAACAAAATTTGCAAACTTGACAAGTTTCTGCTTTAAGATACATAAAACTGGCTTGTACTGAACCTGAGGTTTGGACAGGAGCCGAAACCCTATAGTCTGCATGAAAGCAAGGTTACTCGCGGTGATGAAGAGGAACTCCAGGCCTTCATCCTCATGACCCCCTAACGACCACCACCTGGAGGCACTGCACAGGTGCACCAATGGGATGAATGCCAGAAAACTAATTATAATAGTAGACGGGAATAGGTTTTGCATATGTATTAGGCGTGAAGCACTCTCATGTTTAGGTAATCATTATATGTAATATAAACGAACTGAGTGGCAAAGGAAAGGTGCGCGTGATTTTGGAGGAGCAACCCCCATGTGCCTCAGTGCCGAATAAAGCATACCTGCTTTACAACTCTAACGAGTTGTGGAGTCTATCTGTGTATCAACCATGAGGTTTTATGTTCTATATCCCATCTAATCCGTGTTATCTCCAACTTCAGTGGGGATACGGCTGTGTAATATTGGGAAATAAAGGAGTACTTTTCTCTCTCGCACATAATGGCCAAATAACTTGAGCAGACGAAGAAAAAACTCCTTGCACTGATTGTTTTCAGGTGGCGATTGCTTTAAGACTTCATCGCGATCTCGGCACTCCGCTAGGCACACGGGCTTCCGCTGCTGCCGAATAGCGGTGAGCACCGCCCCTGCTCCGCGTCCTTCGAGCAGCCGCTTCCCGCTACCTCAGCACCACGGGACACCGCGTTTCCCCCTCCGCAGCGGAGTCAGAGACCGCCGAGGGGCTCGGAAAGAGGCCGGAGCTGTCCGAGGAGACCCCCGGACCCGGCTCTCAACCGGACCCGCGGGCAGGTGCTCCCGCCGGCACCCGGAAACACCGCCTCCCGTGACGCTTCCACCGCGCCTCCGCCGTCATTTCCTTCGGCCGCCGCCTGGGTGAGTGTGTGTCGCGGGGCGAGTGCCGTGGGAAAGGGGGGTTGATGGCACCGGGAGGAGAGGGGCTCTGAAGGGGTTACAGCGGCTGCGGCACCGTCACTGTGTGCGCGGCCGGTGCGGCTGCAGGCAGCGTGGCCGGGAGGCTGGCTGGGGGCGAGGAGCGCTGGCTGCTCTTGGGAGCACGGGTTAATGCGGTTTTCCCGTCTGGAAAAGCTGGCTAGAGCGTGGTGCGGCCGTGCGGGGCGGCAGCCTGGCTGCCGAGTCCCTGTGGCCATCCTCCTTCTCGTCGATCACTTCGGAGGGAGCTGAGAGCCCCGCAGCTGCTAGGCCAGTGGTCACGAATGGGTGCGTGGGGTGTGCGAGTTGGAAACACCGATGTGAAATAACTCCGGTGTGGAGCAGGTCCGTTCTCTTGGTGTGTTTTTTCTCTAGGCCCGCAGGGAAGGACGTGAAAGTACTGGTAGATAAAAAATTGGATGCGAGTCCCTGTGTGCATTTACAGCCCAGAAAGCCAGCTGTATGCTGGGCCCCATCAAAAGGGGTGTGACCAGTAAGTCGACTGCAGGTTACTGTTGAGGGTGTTACAGGAACTACTGATAAAACAGTGCCCAAGAGTTAGTGGACCACTGAGGGGCCTGCACTGTGCTGTGCAGGAGAAACAGTGCTGTGTGTAAGTACCATAACTGGAGTGTAAGTTTCATGATAAGGGATCTGTGTAAGTAAAAGCATCTTAATAAATGAGAGCATTTATTTTGGGGAGTAAAGCTGAGATTATTCTTTTTTCTTAGTCCAAAATGAAAGCATCAGCATACTGTAACTCCTTGTGTTGGCTTCACAGACTTGCTCAGACATGTCCAGGGTCATTTTGAGTTGGCCAGCCCAGCCCTAGCAGGCAGGCTGCTGTGCTAGGGGACATGGTGCTGGCTCATTGTCAGGATACTTAATTCAGCTTCTCAGGCAGGCTTTTACTGCTGCCTGGTGTCCTGGGCCACTCTGGGGGATGAAATGCTGGTGCATACTTAAAGTTATGTCAAGTATACACCTACTGTGGTGTTGGACCTACCGTTACTTGATTTGTACCTTAACTTTCCTGAGAACTTGGCAGCTAAACCCTTTGTGAATTAACGTTTTTATTTCTACATGATAGACCAAGCTTATTGTCTACCTGGGAAAATAAATTTAATTGCTTCCAGCTTTAAAATTAAATGAATGAAAATAATATTTTTATGCTACATAAGCCATAAAGTTTGACAGCTTGGCAGAAATGAAAGCAGAATCATTATGATTTTAGTTTTTGGTGTAATGGCATAGCACCAACAGAAAGGCCTAACAATGTCCCCTCTCTTCTGCAAACTTAGTTTTGCTAAGCATGGTCATTCAGGATAGAGTACAGAGATGGCTTCAGAGGCTGATGTGTGGGCCACTGCCACTGTGTGGTGAGCATGGCTAGATGCCTGGCACTAAAATTGTTCCCAGGGCCTGAGACCTCAATCAGGTGCTTTTACTTTGTGTTCTTAAAGCCTGCTTCAGCTGCAGGGAGTTTGCTCTGAGGTTTTCTATTTCTTTGGCAGCACATAGTGAGCATCAGAAAACAGAGCTGTTCTCAGCTTGCTCTGATTATCCCACTGGATAAGGCAAGAGGAGCTGCTCTGGGCCCATGAGCTCTTGAGGTTGTTACTGGTTGACTGCTTTGGTTCTCTCTCCTCTTCAACAGGAACATGCCCAAGAAAGGAGGGAGGCATGCTGACACGGGAAAAGATGGGCCTTCACAGTGTAAACGACCAAAGGTGGAAGCATCTTGTTCTCCATCAGCCATGAGTTTTGAGAACCCAGACAGCCTCTTTGAAAGCTTGATCTCTCCCATCAAACAAGAGGTGTTTTTCAGGGAGTACTGGGAGCAAAAGCCATTGCTTGTTCAGAGGAACAATCCCCTGCTGGCTGCCTACTACCAGTCCCTGTTCCAGTTGTCGGATCTGAAGGAACTGTGTGGCCGGGGTCTGTACTATGGGCGGGATCTAAATATCTGCAGATGTGTGAATGGAAAAAAGAAAGTTTTAAATAAAGAAGGCAAAGTGAACTACATGCAGCTGAAGAAGGATTTTGAACAGAAAAAGGCAACGATACAGTTTCATCAGCCTCAGAGATTTAAGGTTGTTTTGTTTAATTGAATATAATCAATGCATACTTTATAATGTGCTATGCTTTGCTTCAGTCATACTAGACAGAGCTTCATCTCTGCCTCAGTAAATCCGGGGGGACAGCGGTGACCTGCTGAAATCCATACATGAACTGTAGTAATTTAATCTTGTAGTTTTGCACAGCCCATCATGTTTCAGTGCTCTTTTAACAAGAACAAAATCTGACTTGTGCTATAAAACTAAGCATTCTTTAGTTTATGTGCCAAAGCAGTTTTTTGCTTTGTCACATACAAGTTTAGAAAAAGAAATGCACAAAATTGATTATGTATCTGTGTCTTCTTAAGTTATCACTTCTGCCCCACTCTTTCATTGTGCAAACAGGGGCTTTTGTATTGCTTTCCTTTAATGGAGGGCAAGGTGTGAAACCATGTAAAATGTTTCCAGGACATTCTACTATTCTTGCCAGTGACTCCCTCTGTACTGTACCATGGAAATGTTCCACCCTTTCTTGGCTGAGTGTCCTCTCTTGTTCTTTTTGATGCTTTTGCAGTCTTCATGTATGAGAATGAGGCAGTGTTGTCTGCACAGTTGTGTGAAGGGTTTCCATACTGGTAAAGTACTTGGATTTAGGTAGTCTTTTCTGTCCCTCAGTGCCAATACAGTGTAATTGTGAAGTGGTCCATAAAGACCCAAATTGGCATCTGAGTTTGAAGCATAGGGTCACTGGCTGATCTCAGTTTAAGTGTAGCTGCAGGTGAAGTTGAAATGTTGTGTGGCTTATGCTGAAGTCATGCAGCTTGAGTTGAACCTACCTAAATTCTGGTTGAAGTTGCACTTATTCGGGTCTGGGAGTTTTCTGACATGACAGTCATCCCATTGGGGCATTGCCTGTCACATGTGAGATGTAGATGAATATTTGTTCTCAAATACTATATTGTATGTATATATTATGTATATAATATTATGTATACTCAAACAGTTGGAGTCACCAGAAAAAGGTGTCCAACGTTTGTATGCTCTGTTTGATGCAAGTTCTGCATGTATTTATTGTCTTCAGATGCTCTGTGGTTTGTAGGATGATTTATTTGCTTCTGTCTGGTCTTGTTTATTTGTGCAACTTAATGTTACAGGGAAGAGAACAAACATCAATGCTATGTTGGGGCACCAAACTTCTTGGCTTACAATTACCTTCACTGCAGGAGAAACACTTGTACAGAGCATCTGCCTTCACAGCCTCTGTCCCCATGTGGGGATATGATCATCCTGTAGAGCAGCCTCTTCAGTGATGGGGAGGCTGTGGGCTGGGTGGCAGCCTGGCTTGGCTGAGCTCTTCAGCATTAACGACATCATTTCTTTTTAAAGGAGGAGCTATGGAAGATTCAGGAGAAGCTGGAGTGCTACTTCGGGTCTCTGGTTGGATCCAATGTTTACATGACTCCCCAGGGGTCCCAGGGCCTTCCCCCTCACTACGATGATGTTGAGGTAGGGCAGCACAATGCTGGCTGTCAGACTCTGCATGGGCTTTTGCTAGTGGCAGTGGATGTGTCCTTTTTTTGCCCCCACCCCCGAAAATGTTTGGCTTTTTTTCCCCACTGAAAACTTAACAGTAGTTGGTTGCACGGGCTTATAGTAATTTTTCTTCTCTAATTTTACTGAAAATAGTATATCTAATGGTAATGCCATGTGAACTGTGCTTGCCAGCCCTGGCATTTCCATTAGATGAAAAGATAATTTGTTCCCCCTCCCTTACATTTATTTTTTTGCTCTTTATTATTTTAATTTCCCTTAAATACACCTAGAGTTTTGATTTCATTATGCTTGCTGTTCAGCAGCCCCCCAGTCTGCATGTTCTGGTGTATGTCATCAACCCTGGATGCTCACAGCATGTTTCTGATGCTTTGTTTGTCAGTGAATGGTGATAAGACCTCTCTCACCTGAGATCTTGAGTATCTGTGTGGTAGGCATTACTTTTGAGTTACTTGTCTGGCACTTATCTAAGGGACTGGAGAGAAACAGTGATTTGCAAATGCCTGCCTTAGGATGAAACAGATCACATTTCACAACTCTGTTACCTCTAATTAGAGCCTAAGGAATTAGTTCAGATGTAAATTTCTGCATTGTAGACATCTAAAAAGTAATGTGAAAGGAATCCTGCTGTGCTGTGGAGGTGCTGAGGGCTGGGAAGATAAAATCTGTTTCTTCTGTTGTCAGAAAAGCAACCTCTGTCACTTTCATTTGCTTTCCATCCCTTATTTCTGGCATGGTTCCACAGACTTTCCAAGTCAGAAGATGACTTGGAATTCCTGATCAGTTGGATGTGTGAGGGGCAGCAATGCCTCCTTGTGCATCTGGATTGATGCTCTTTTGCAGGTGTTTATCCTTCAGCTGGAAGGCGAGAAACACTGGCGGCTCTATAAACCAACGGTGCATTTAGCTCGGGAATATAGCGTTGAATCAGAAGACAGGATTGGGAATCCCACGCATGAATTCATATTAAAGGTATTATAATTGAATTGTTTTACATGGCCTGGGTTGTGGTTGCCAGAAAAGTAGTCACATTTAAAATGGTCTGTTTCTTGAAGGCAGTATTCTGAATGATGGTGGTTGTGAAGTTGAGGGGAGGATTGGTGCACAAAACGCCATGAGCACAAGAGATTTGGGTGCCAGTTGTCTAACCTATCCTTTTCCAAAGTTTTCCTTTGCTGTAGCATTTAAACAATGGACGAATAAACCAGTTACTTCTGGAAACTCTCCAGTATTCTCCAAGTCGGGCATCCTGACTCCTGGATCGTGTTTGTGGAGTTGTGTGCATGAAAAACCCTAGGCTTATGTATGTTTATGAAACATTTTAATGCTTTTACATGCTGTCTGTAATCCACCAGGGTAATCCTTCTATGCACTGAGACTTACTGCTTTACCAGAGGTTGTCACTGTTCTGGTGAATCAGTTTTAAATATTTACCCTTGGCTGTTAAACAAAAGCATGACCTTATCCCCGTATTCATTTTATGTATTAATTGGTTTTGGTTTGTTTCTTTTCCCTTTCCAAAACCCCAAACCAGTATGACTGTTTTTTTGTTATTTGGAATAAAAAGAGCATTTCATGAAGATTAATGAATGCAGCCCATTTGACAGCAGGGCATCTGGTACTTGTCCCTTTCTGCTCTACGTGCTTGTGCTTTTTGAAGCATGGTGTTTATCCTGCAGACAGCGCTGCTCTGTTGGAAGCCTCATTAGTTTCTCTGCCTTGTGGCCTGTCTGTAGGACCTCTCTCTGCAAGGTCTGTGCTCTTCCCATTGTTCAGTCCTGCCTTTGGCTGTAGGTAGTTTCTGTGTGACACATTTGATATGATACTGACATCATGAGCTGTGTAGTTTGACAGCTGGTAATGTTTGCAATTGTCATGACCTATTGGGTGATGCAAAGCCTAGTAAATTACAAGTCCCTTTTTAATTTTGGGAATGTTTTGGGCTGGACTTCAATGCCTTTGATTTTTATGGAATAACGATGTTTGTCACAAGCCATTTTACTGGCATTAATGGGGTGACAGTACTTGCTTCTGGAAAGGGCTTATAAATGATGTGTTTTTTAGGGTTATTTTTCTTCTGTTTGATGTTCTGCAGTTCCCATGACCCATTTTTTCTGTCAGATTTTCATTATTTGGAGCTGTCTCCAACAGGGATGTTCTCAGATTCCCTGCCCAAACATCCTGCTAGAATAGTTCCTTTCTCCTTTTTCGTATTCCTGCCTGCAGTCTGCCTTCCTTGGGCAGTTTAGAACAAATGAACCAGTTAGAGACTGTGCTGGTGGTGTTCTTCCATTCCACCAAAACCTGGTAGGTGAGTGAGAGCAAAGCATGCTGGTTTGTGTATAAGGTCCCCGCAGACTGTTGCAGTGGCTGGTTTGTTACTGATGTCAAGCATAGCTTATTTGACAGGAGGTGATCTATCCTTTTTCCTGCATGGTTTTCCATTTGGATTTCCTGGTACCTTCTCCCTTGTTCTCCTCTCCTTCCTCCAGTTAAGAAGAAGGCAGCAAAGTGACCAGATCTGCATTGTCTCTTGTCACATGCTCTGTCCTCCCCCAGCCTGGGTGTTGCCACCTGGAATCTGAAGATCCTGGTTATTTTGATGGCAGAGTGTTGTGATTGCTGGCTAACGTGAATGGTGGTGATGATATTGTCCAGCAGATAAGATCGATAAGAGCTGGACTTCGCAGTGAAGACTGCTTGGAAAAATCATGATGCCCCGCTTCTTAGTGGTAGGCATAGGGTGCTGCATCACAAAGTAACTTCTTTTGCAGACTAGTTTGCCACCACTCTGGTAGATGTTCAGGGCTCTTGCTGTTCCCCTGTGTGACCCTTCCTCCAATTTATTTTCTTGCTGAGGATGTGCAACGTAGCAAATGAAGAGAATTTAAAAATACTCTTAGTTGGTTAGTGTAGTCCCTGCACTGGTAAGGAAGGCAGTTTACTAATGACAGAGACAGGCTTGCTTCAGAGCAAGTGGATCGTACAAAGCTGATCTGTGGTGCTTTACAGCTTGTGAGAAATGGATGAGGAGACTTGATCTTGCTGAGTCCTGTGAAGCCTCATAGTCTAAAGAGACCTTTCAGTGAAAAATTAAGTAGCATTCACTTGAAATGTATTTGTGTTACAGTTCCCTGGGCTCTAAGTAGGTGACGTGACTGAATTTAAGGAATGGTAAAATAAAATGGAATCAGATTTCGCCACTGTTGCTTGGATTTTGATTGTGCTATCCAACTATATAAATGTTTATAGGAGAAGCCATGAGTAAACTGTGTACTTTGCGCTTATCCCTTATCTTGACTTCCCTGGATCTAAATTTTCATCAGTGTGGAGATTTAATTTAGATAGGTGAGAAGAAAGATAGGTAGGAGGAAGGTTGTCCTTGTTTAAGTGTTTTAAATGGAAGTTTCAGACAGCAGTATTGTAACACATTAACATCTTAATAGAATATTTGGCTTTTCTTGTGGGATATTGATCTTTTCTTTTAACGTGATTTTACCAAATTCACTTTGTATTGCTCCTCTGCTAACCCGTTGTATTGTCAGCAGGTTCATCTCAGCTGCTTGTCTCCTTTATGCAGCTGAGTTGGGGTATGCATGTTCTATCATGGTAAAAGCTTGCTTCCTATTTTCAGACTGGTGTATAGTAAATATTGACAGTAAGTTGGAAAGTTTAAGGTATTGGACTTCTGGCTTAAGAGTGGTTCTACATTACTAGTTTCTATTAGTTTCTATGTTATTAAAGTGTACAATGGCAGATCTCTTATTTTGTGATTTTAAAGAACAGATGCTGTCAGTCTGTCTGCTCAGGGAGTATTTTCTCTATTTTGACTACATTTAGGCTTGACCAGGTGCCCTGAATCAATTCTCCTTCGTTTTCTTGCAGCCAGGTGACTTGCTGTACTTCCCAAGAGGGACTATTCACCAAGCTGACACTCCTCCTGGGATCCCCTATTCTACACATGTGACCATCAGTACCTACCAAAACAAGTAAGTATTCTTTAGCCTTTTCTGAAATGGTTTTTTTCCAGATAATGTGTGTGAATAGTACAGACCTGAAATCGGTGTTTCAAAGAAGCAATGTGCTGTTTCTTAAAATGAAACCCCCCTTATAATGAGCTCTGCTTAGCTCTTCTCTGTGTTCATTCTGTTTGGCCCTTGTGTGATTTGTTTTTCTGTGAGTAACAGGGATAGGGCATGTTGCCTTTGCCCCAGAGATGTAATGATATGAATATATGTTGGTACCCCGCTATTACGTATGTGCCCTGGTGTTAGTTACAGAATCTAAGCTAGTGTTCAGGTAGCAGTAATTGAAGGCTTGGTGTTTGGGAGAAGGAAGGGTTTGTTTGAAGCCACCTGCTTACCAGGTTTTTGTGCCACAAGCTTGATTGCTTTTTAATTTGTTATTTTATTATTTACCAGAGGTAGACTTTAACGTGGAAGGTAATGTTACACCTGCAAACTCAACTGGTGTGTTTAAAAAAACCCAGCCCTCTAAAGTAGTGTCCAGAGGTCAGTGCTGGAAATGGAGAGTGCTGAGAGAGGGCAAGAGCAGAGGGTGAAGCATGTGATAGAGGACAGGCCCTGCTCTGCTCCTTGCCCTAGTTTTGTGGAGTCTGCTGACAGCATGGGTACTGGGCATTTGCCCGTGTTGTTTGCCTGTTAAACCAGCCTCTGAGGATGTGGTGGGGAGAGAGGCCACATGTGGACAGGAGAGCACTTTTGCATGAGCGGCACGCCTATTCCTGATGAGCTTGACTCAAGCTGGGCAGAGAGTGCAGGCAGTAGTTCTACCTCCCCTCCTCTTGTTTGTTCTTGCAATTGGGGAACAGAAGCACAAGATTAAAAGGCTTTTTATTGTTGCTGTTTAAAGTATGCAGGCTAACAGTGGGGGTTTAACACAAGGCACCTACAGGGTGTCTGTTAAGTATCATTGATATAGCTGTAGAGATATGTTAGGGGTCTTGTTCCTGGGGTCACAATTAAGTCTGTAGTAAAGATAAAAGCTGATTTAAGGATTTGATAAACGTGAGTGCATTACTTCCTTCAATAGAAGTGTGTTGAAAGCATGTTAAATGACCTTCCCCCACACTTCATTGTATGCAGTGAGGCTGTATGTGCATGCAGTTGGATAACAGTGGCCCTGCGAGTATTATCTTAATTCACTGATGTCAGCTTTAAGCTGAATCCACTGGTAAATGGCAGGTGCCTGAATGAAAACAAACTGGACCCTTCTCAAGCCAGTCCTTTCCCTCTGTGCTGCTGACCTGGAACTAGTGAGGATGCACATACAGTTGAGAGTGAGCTACTGCACAGGACTACGGAGTGGTAATGGAAGGGCTAAAGGCATGAAGCAGAGTTGGAATCGGAGCACTGTGTTTCCAGCTCTTGACATCATTTGTCTGTTTTATTTCAGTGCAACTATTTTAGTAATTATTATTACTATTTTAATTCCCGTGCTTCAGCTCCTGGGGAGATTTCTTACTGGATGCAATTCCTGGCCTAGTGTTTGATGCAGCAAAAGAAGATGTGGCACTGCGGACAAGCATACCAAGGAAGCTGCTTATGGTAAGTAGGTGGGACTAAAGGGAGTAACGGTGCATCCAGCCGGAACTTCAGCACTGCGGCAAGCGTGTATCTTGTTGATCTGCTTTGAAAGCTCAATGCAAAGGCACTGTATTGTCCACTAGCACAATCACTTCTTTTGAAGTCTTTGACTGTTCAGAGGTTTGCTCCATCTGAAGCACTGTCTGCTTCTTTGCACTGCCTTTCTTTTGTATCACAGTGTCCTTGTATAGCTTGTTTCCTTCTATAAGTAATGGTGTTTGCTTTGGAGCTGTCAGACAAGCTTTTGAATCTTTAAAAGTCAGCAAAGCTGTAAATTGTTCTGTGATCTCATTGTGGTAGTCCGGTTGTGCCTCTGGTAAGCGCACACAGAAGGAACAGGTGCCTTTTTCAGCTACACTAGCAAGTCTTTTAGCACAGCAGGTAGCTGTGGGGTGGGAGAAAATGAACATCAGCTTTGGTGCGTGAACAGCTCATGGGGAATGGGTAGGAGAAAGGGTTGTGTTGGGAGTAAGTGTTAGCCTCTGCAAAGCTGAGAGAGGAACGTCCAGGTTTTCACTGTGTTGCTGCACCTCTTTAGGCTAGTCTGTTTAGCCTAAATTCATGTGAGTAACTATGTGCATGTTTAGCAGGTGGATGTAACTGACTCAACAAAAAAGCTGAGCAGCCTTTTGAGGCGGCTTGCAGACCATCTGGAAAACACCAGAGAACTAAGGTCATCTGACATGAAGAAGGATTTCATTATGAACCGGCTGCCACCTTGCTTGGGATGCAACTCTGATGCTTTGACTCCAGGTAGATTTGAAGTCACCAAAGTGGCTGATGAGACAGTACAGCTGTTGCTAACTCTGCCTCTTAGAACTGTGATATTTTATGGTAGACAGAGATCCTGGTCTAGCATCAGCCCCATGCTGTGCTAGGCTCTACATGTGCATGTGCACATTCCAGCTGGTTAATTCCCTGTACCTAACGGAAGAGACAACACATCTCTCTCAGTGAAATAAAGGTACTAGACTGCAGCCTTAATAAACTGCTGTGTACTGAGACTGTTTAACTGGTAGAGTTTGACCTTATGTACTAGCTTGCTGTTACAGCTGTCTGTATACCATAAAGATGAGAGAACTAAAAAATCCCTCTCTCCCTTTTTGCTCCCTGGGTTTGACAACATGGGTGTTTAAACATATGTTAGCAAAGCAATCCCACCACAAGAGAGTGGGCAGCGCACAGAGGTCTCAGTTTGTGCTGTCCATCTGGTTTCCTTCCTTTCTAATGAAGAATTTCTTTTACATAGGTGGGAAACTTCCAAAAATTGATAGCAAAATCCGACTGCAGTTCAGAGATCATGCAATCATCACAGTGGAACCAGACCAAGAGAACTCTGTAAGTATGGTGATGCCCAGCCTGCTATGCCTGTGCTTGGGGGTGTGTAGTGGGGAGCAGAAGGTATGTGAACTGTTGCTCTGTACTGGTCTAAAAGGGTTGTGCAGTTAATGCTTAGATTCTGCATCCCATTAGGGTTTGGTAGGAGACAGTAGGCTTGTTGTCAAGCAGAGACAGCAGGCCTTCCTGGAGAGCTGCAGGCTTTTATCTGAGGCTAGATCATTACAGATTCAGGCCATTTAGCAGGCGTAATGATCTGTAGCTTTTGATAATGGATTTTTGTTTTTTATTCTTTGTATTTGACAGCATGAATAAATTATAAAAATAGGTTCCTTTAAGAGAGGGAATTTTCTTGATCGCAGCTGCTCCCAACTGTGGTTGCTTTAGTCTTTACTTCCCAGTTAGTTAGCTTTGTCCCTAAACAGGGACCAGTGGCACTACAAAGTTGATCTACAAAATAGGTGCTGGCATCTTGTAGTATGTTGTGTTCAGACTAATTCTTAGTTATGGAGGTTTATTAGTATGGAATTGTAGAAGTGCTTTTTGTTGTCTTAATCAGAAAGGGGAGGGTGAGGGTGGATGGGACAGACTATATCTTGTACTTCTGTTGGCTGGTTCTGTACACCTAGAATGTTTTCCTCCCAGGCAAACATGCTGTGACTTTCTGACTTCCCTCGTCTGTTTTGTTTGTGTCCTTATTGCTGTGAGACTGTGTAGGGTTTGGATATTCTGTTATCTTTTGCCACCTTGCCTTTTGATGTCAGTCAGATAAACCCTGAATAACAGCCCACATGCAAGCCTTTTGATGCAGATTTGGTGTGAGACCTGCCCACAGTGCTGTGAATTGGTTTGCACAGCTTTGACCAAGAAGTGATAACAGGCATATGACTCTTTAAGCGACAGATCAGGCTCAGAATGGAAATTTACTGATGCCCACTTGTTCATTAAGACCTTTTGGGAAATGCACCTTAAATGCTATGCTTTCTATAGAGCATCAGTCCTGTGAGTCTGGCGGATGCAGTGTTAAAGCAAAAGGTTATATGTGGTACATAGATTTTCAAAGAGGGTTTGAAGATTCCCTTATGGCTGTTGGATCATTCAGTTGGGAATGTTAATTGCTTTCAGTGATGCAGCAGTGGAATCCAGAATTAAGGGGCTGTTGTCACTTCAGTGAGCTAAATTTGAGGCTGTGGGTCACATGTAACTAAGTGTTCTCTTCTTGTCTTTTAGGATGAAATTTGCAGAGAGATGGTTTACGTGTATCATTCTTTAAAGAACAAAAGAGAAACTCACATGATGGGGACCGAAGAGGATACACCCAGTGAGGAAGGCACACCCCAGGTTTGTGCCCACACACACCTTTTGCTGTGTTTGCTCTGTTTGCTGTGTTAGATGAGCCTGACTGAACGGTAGCAGGGTGCTGCATTGCAACACAAAGGCAGTTAGTTCAGTAAAGCTAAGGAATGTAATCTCACACTTTAAATGTTAGATATGTTAACAGAATTTCTTGCACATCCCTCATTCCTAGCTAACAAAGCCTCTGCAGTGGCCAGAAGTGCTTCTTTCTGCTGTGTCCTTCAGTACGTCCTTTATTACAGCTACTAAATACACTAGTGCCTGGTCACTCATAGCAGGGAACACTGCTTCACGCACATGTTTATGCCACACTGAACCTGTTAGGTTCTGTGTCAACTGAACCATCCCACAAGATGAGAAATGTAAGGAAAGAACTTTAATATTGTTAATAAAGGCTGCAGGTGGTTCATCTGCATTATACCTGCTGAGTAAGAATGTGCTTTTGGTGGAAACATAAGCACTCCTGAAGAATGGCTGTGAGCTTTGGAACGTTTTGTTCCACTTCATGATACTAAGAAGATCTGTCTTAGGTCTGTGCCCTGAACCACTTGACTACAGGTCTACACAAACACACTGTAGAGGCAGAACACAGCCTGTTCTTGGCCCAGTAATCACAGCAAGGCTTTTTGGCTGGCAGCTACTTTCCTTTTAAGGTAAATCTCACTTGGCCTCCAGTGCGGAGAATAGGGGTAGATGATGTTGCACGCTGGCTCCTGTACAACGTGTGCAAATCCTAGACTATACCTTCCTGGCTTAAAGACTCCAGCCATAGTACTGGGGGCCCTCTGTGGTGCTGGCATACTGTGTCCAAAGGCTGTGTGTGGCATATGGAAGCTTCTTTCTATCCAAAGGTAAGAGGCAAGAGTATGAATTTAAACATGGTATGTCATTCTTCAGCATAGAAGCCAGGCTCCTGGGTGAAGTGTGCTAGAACATGTAAGAGATGGGAGGGATTTTTCTGTTGAGAGGTGATAGGATAATACTACATCAATTGGAAGATGCACTTACAAACACCAGTGTGATGTGGGAAAGGAGCATATACCTGCTAGTCAGCAACTAGACCCTAACACACTGTGTGCAATAAGGGACACAGTGTTTTGCTAAAAGATCTTTTTTCTTTCTTCTTTCCCCCCCAGCAGACCCATGGACTGCGGTTTCCTTTGACATACTTGGATGCACTGAAGCAGATTTGGTGTAGCAGCACCGTTAGTGTTAAAGAGCTAAACCTGGCTTCAGATGAAGAGAAGGAAAACCTTGCCTTGTCACTATGGACTGAATGTCTAATTGAAGTTATTTGATGCTTTTATGAAAAGCTGCTACTGCAGATAGTACTTCTAGCCATTAAGAATCTCTCCTGATTCTTGTTATTAAATACCTTTTTATATATCCAGGTTTGTAGTGCTGTCTGCCAAGGCATTGCAATATATATAAAATTTGATGCCAAATACTTCCCTTAGCTTTGGGAAAACGGGCACTGGGAAAGAACAGGTAAGCTGCTTCGTGTCCAGTGACTGCAGCTATGGGTCTGTGACTGGATGAATCTACTCACAGTAAGACCATAGTGCTGTGGTGTCCCCTTTCCTCTGTTTATATGCCTTCATGTGGAGGACATCCAAACGTATAGATGGAGCACGCTCCAGGAGCTTGGGCTAAAAACAGGAACTTTTGGTTTTTAATGTGTAAAGTTCACCAGCAAGAAAACCCATTTGTTCTGTTTGTTTGCCCCCCCCCAGAGACTAAAAGCTGCTCAGGAAAAGCTGTCTGTTGTTTCCCAAAGGGGTGAGGACTTTGCTCAAGAAAACCCCTTTCCTCTCAGAAGAGAGGAAACCACTGGTATAATCAAACTATTGTAACCACTGGTTGTAGTTTGTAATCAAACTGTATGGTTGCATAGTTTGTAATCAACCTATAACCACAGGAAACCACTGGAATAATCAAACTGTACTATTTTAATGTCTGCCTCCATTTAACATGAAAGTAACCCAAACCTTTAACTGGAATATGCATCTTCAGTGCTCACTGAGAGGAGTTTGATGGGAGCAGTGCAGGTACTGCAGATATTGAACATCAATATTTGATATCGTAGAATAGTAAAGGTTAGAAAGGACCTTAAGATCATCTTATTTCCAACCCCCCCCAGTCTAATGTCACAGTCATGTATTCAATATCCTCATCCCTTTTCTGTCCATTCCAAAGGAAGTATTTTACAGGAGCATGCTTTGCCACCTGCTAAAAACGAGAGTTGTATTTAGTTTGTTTAAAAAGAAACAAACAAGCAAAATGTTCCTCCTAAAAAAAGTTTCATACAATTAAAATATACACGCTTGGCATTTTACATTCGAGATCTCTTCAGTACAAAAGCCTGCTTTTACTTTGCTATTTAACACTGCCACATCAAAGAGGATTTACTCATCCTTGGGCTAAAAGACTAGAACTTTTTACACAGGCTTTTAAAATTTCATATGGAGAGCAAGTCCCATGTAGAACACTTGACACACTGACTTACATAGAAAAGGCTAAACAAGTGCTTTAGCTGGTAAAATATATACAGACAGTGGAAAATCTGTTACTTAAAGAGCTAGGATAACTTTAGAATGTAAAATAGTAAGTGCAAGTAGATTTATTTTTAAATAATACTATATAGAACTCCATTTCATACAAAAATAGACATCCATTTATTTTATTTCTGTGGCAAACTTAGGGTTATGTGGTTGGATTTGTCTGGGGATGTGTCTGAATGAACAACTGGAAGAGTTACAGCTTTTGGAAACCAAAATATCCATCTGTAGCTAACCTGGACTCTTTAAATAGTTACAGAAATATATACCCTGAATATACAAAGAAGGAAAAAAAACCCTTTTTAATGAAATAGATTAATTTAGTGATACTGAAACCAAATGAAGTTACCAGTAATCCAAGGGCACTTCACATCAGGTTTTCAACAGCTGTCTACAGTTCTGCCCGTTTGCTTTTCAAGCCTGCAACAGCTGCACTCCAGTCAGGTATTTGGTGCTGTCTGTCTCAAGTGATAGCTCGTATCACTGGGTGCACAGTGCTGAAACTGAGGGAAGGGCCAGCATGTCCTTATCCTTTGGGCTAAGATGCCTGAGGTTTGATGAGCCACAGTAATGTGAGCATGTAGTTATGCTGTTCTTTTTACATTAAACTAGTTTGGAAATAGCCTGCTAGCACCTTTGAAAATACCTACTAGGAATTATCTTCTGAAGGAGGATGTGGTTTCAAGACCAAATTACATTAAATTAATCTATATACAGCAAAACAAAAGTTTGGCTAGACTTAAAAATCATTACTGCTCTAAATGCAGCTAGCCCTTGTAGAAGTCTAGCCTGACCCAGGACCGTTTCTTCTGATACGTGTAGATACGGCTCCGTGTTGAAGGTGATCTTCAGTGATAACTCACAATTTCATTGGTTGGAAACAGGCCACGGGTCAGCAAAACCAGTTCCTGAACCTGGGAAGTTGGTACTGCTAAAACAAATGAAAACAAAGACCTACCAGTAACATCAGGGCAGGGGGAAGTCAAGCTTTCTCTACTGCTTCATTTCACATGCTGAGCTGGTAAGTCCAGTTCAGCGTTGTCTCTATGAACAAAGTAAACTGCATTTAGCAAGAGATATGGTTTGAGCTTCATGGTCACTTGAAACCTAAACAGTTTCAACTGGGACATGGAAGTCCAACGCAACCTCTTTCATGCTGCGTTCATTCTTCACTGAGCTTCCATCAGTTTGAGGGGAAGGTAAAGACAACATTTCTAAAGAGGCTTTCCCATATTATCCCTTGCAGTTCACATCCTGCAAAACTTGCATGTAGTCTCATGTAATACTCCAGATGAAAAGTAACAGTGACCTTCACAGGAGTGGCCTCTGAAGCACAGCTTCCCTGCAGAAACACATGATATGAACCTCCCATCTTCTGTATTTGTGCAAAATTCAGTTGTTTTTAGGAGCTGGTGCTTGGTAGGAAGGAAAGCAGAGACGAGTTGCTGCTTACTGTTCCAGTGGTGTGTGACTTCAGTAGTTGTTTGGGTGTTTTTCCCCTCTAGGTGTTAATAACACACACAAGGTGCATCTGTGCGGTGGGTTTTATTCACAATATTTCAATATCCCATTTTTGTGACTGTTTGTTGTCTATCGGCTGATTCATAATGATGTGATTCTTATCATAATAATTTCCTCCTAAAAAACAGAACAAAATCATGAAGGCAAAATTGTAAAAAGAAATGCTCAGAGAAGCCTATGTATGATCTTTAAGAAGTGTGACTAAGTAGGAAAATCAGATAGGAACCAGAAATTCTATGAGATAGGGAGTTGTTTGTGCCCCTCTGCCTCTGTTATGTTTGTCTCCTTCAAATAGTCACTTGTCAGCTTCAGCCCTGAGAGGCTCCATTGGTCAGGAAGCAGAACATACCACAAATGTACCTTGGTGCACAGAAATCAGCACCCCTACAGACATTCTGCTTTCAGCAGATACTGAGCTCCTGCTATATGGATTTTCAAGGCACATATTGCTCTACAAGGAATACACAAGTTCACAAGTAGATGTGTAAAGATTTGGTGTAGCACATCCGTTTCAACCACAAACTTAGAGGTCCTTAAAATAAGATTTCTCTCTGAATACATGTAGCATAGAAATGACACTGATTTTTTTTTTTAATCATTATACCATACATAGCAATTGACTAAAAGAAACAAGTTCTGAAGAGCTATTGAGCAGGATTGCACAACCCCAGCATTCAACATTGTGTTGTGCTGTAACCTAGGCAGCACAGCTTGCAGATACTGTAAGAGCTGCCACCACTATCACCTGATTGCATTTAATGGCTTTGTAGTAACTATTCATGAATTGGTGGTTAAACTATTCTGTGGTTGCTTTTCCTTCACTGTTTTGTCTTCTGTCACTTGCATTTCTTGCCATGAGCGCTGCTGATCTCCCTCAAGTAGAACAGTTAACCTGATCAAAATAAACCTCTGGGATCTACAGAGTAAGGTTCCCCCCTGCCCTGTTGTTTCTTGTCCAATTGTCAGGCAACTGGACATAAACCTAACAGGAACAACAGGATTAAGTATTCAAGTGAAAAAAGAGCTGAAATATGGCAATTAACAACAATCACAAAATGCTCTTGGAAGTTCAGTTGTGTGTTTGTCTGTTCTTCAAATACCTTTAATGTCAAGCACCAGTTGTTCGCTGAGGTATGAACTGATGGTTCCATCCTCATTGAGTCTCCACCTTTGCCGGTCCTTCCCATGTTCTGCCCAGAGCGCCACTTTGGCCCCGGGTACGTCTCTGCCCCCAATGACATCCAGGCAGGCGTTGTTAGCCTAAGAGAAGAGAAGAGAAATGAGACCCAGTACCAAAGCCTTGTGTTTGTGTCTGACTTGGTTCTGTTTGAGGCACTGAGCACACTGCAGTGATCCTCTTGCAGCTGGTACCAAGCCTGGCAAGCAAGCTAGGAACTGATCATTCAGCATCTGACCAGCAGCTTGGTCAAAGGGGGTGGTCTTTGTTAACTCAGGTCTTGCTTATGTTAAATCATCAGCTTTTGGTATTAATAACAGACTAGCAAAAGCAGCATCAATACAAAAATCATTACTTTCTACACGTATTACCTTCTAGAGAATTTCTTAACTCTTCAGAGGTAATAAAACTTGCAACTTTAGACAAAAAACAGGTTTCTACTTGCAGGAACACCAGTGCCCTTAGACAGATGTCAAAAGCAGCCCAGTTTGCCAGAGCAGACACATCACTTCTGTCTCTACATAGCAGGAGGATGTAGGTTAGAAGGGTTTTGGTCTAAGACACCTGGGAGAGGCCAAAAGCTATCCTGGTGTTAATGCTAGCCTAGGGCAAAAGCAAGAAGCGAAGGTGAAAGTACCACCAGTGATACAACCCGCCCACTTCAGCATCTGGAGACTCACCTTGGATTTGAAGAGTCCACGACAGTAGTGCCAGATCTGGGTGTTCTTGCCATTGTATGGGGATGCACACACTGATGTGGCTCTTACATCAGCCAGGCTCCCAGCCACTGTCAGGTATTTGCCTTGGCCTCGGTTCTTCACTCTGACGTACACTGCTGGCTGAAATAGTGTGAAGGTAGGTAGTTATAACACAGGGATTAAGGACTGGTTAATTGGTTAATAGTTGGTTCCCCTCCATCTTACACCAGTTCTAAAGTTCGTAATTTCCAATTTCAGAAAGTGTTTTTCTTGTTGGAAACAAATGTGCATGGTAAAGCAGCAATCAATGTTCTTCACATGCAGACAGACAGCTGTAAGCAGCAATAGCAGATAAGCTGTTTTAAAACAATGTATGTCTACAGAACTAATTCCTGCAGCATGGAACTATCTAGTTAAGCACATTTCACTCATTCCAAGGCCAGTAAATGTGCTGTACTCCACAAGCTTTCTGTTCTCAGGACACAAAACTGAGTCACAAATCCAACAACTTCCACCCCTGCTAACTGCAATATACAGCAGAGGGTTACACCACTGCTTCTGAACACGCACAGAAAACAGGGTGCTGCCCTGACATCCCTGACTACTTGGTTTACTCAAATAATAAGGACATTTTGTAGGGTTCAAGCCTCTGCTCTGTTACTCACTGATTTTGGCACAAAGAACAGCAAGTTATAAAGGACAGCTCTGCTGGAACCCCAACTGAAGCATAGTTTTCCTCTGGGAGTTTTGAATCTCCCTTACTTTTTTCCATATTCAAACAAACCTTAAGGTACAGACAATAAAGCCTCTCTTCCACCAAGCACCCATAAACTAATGTGCATTACTATAGCACATTCTGCACAAGGAAGGCATCGTATTATGAAGTCACTAAGCAAAATGCGTCTCATTTTGGACGAGTTTCAGATGTTCTGCTTTTTGTCGCACTACCTCTTGACTTGGCCAGTTTTATAATATGAAATGGAGATGGAAGGGAGAATAAAGCAGTGCAGGTTTGCAGTATCCCCCCCAGTCTCAAAACACCACGCACTCACAGAAGCACCAGGCACCGGTAGCTGACTGCACAAACTCAAACCAAACCCAAGTCAAAGCAATGATCACAGAACACCCAGCAAAGTGGCTGAAGCAGGCTGGGTAACTGCTGCACTGTAAAAAAGGATGCTACCAAATACAAAAGCTCTTCAGACTGCTGGCTGAAGAGAGGATTCTGGTTTTAAGATCAGTGCAGATTATTTTCAGTGTTATTTGCCAAAATGACATCCTTCTCTAAGTTATCACTTCCAAAAGAATTCCAGGGAGCCATCAGCTTCTTAGACTAAAAACTCCTTGCAGGGAGGTAATGGATAACGCATAACTAGTGCTCATGACTGCTGTTTCTCTTCACTGCAATGTTTCCCACTTGAATCTTGTGTTTAAAAATAAAGCAGAATTTGTCACTAAGTGGAGACAAGTTGCCTGTGAGAAACAGAGCAGAAACAAACATTCCCAGCAGAGCAACTGCTCACATTCCCTGCAGTGCTTCCCTGTCCTCTTCCTATCCACCTGGACGCTGTCCTCCCACAGCTGTGTGAGGTGCACACATCAACACTTGCTTTGACTGGTCTGGATGCATCCTGAGACATCCTGGCTAAGCCAAGGGGCAGAACTGTACCTGCTCTTCCTTCAGTGAGGGGCTTTTATCTCAAGTCTTGCCTCTCCACCCATCTTTCCCAAAGCTCCTGAGCACTGTGTGGTTTTGAGACCCAAATCTCTGAATGAGACTGAAACCGGCACTGCTTGGGGCGAGGCAGAGAGGGAAATCCTGGTGGGAAAGCATAAGCTTCGCTTCTTTTGGAAATCCAGGCTAGAGCACAATAAAACTGCTTCCATTTATGTTCATTATGAATCAAGCCAATGCAAAATTGGGTTTCTCATTATATGGCAAAAACATAAAAATAGAGCAGCTACAGAACATGCTAATGAGCTATTCAGGAAAAACAAAGCTTGGCTCCAAAGGAACCAGGAATTATTTCCCTTTTGGAGCCTAATATTGATCCCTAACTGCCACTAGAGGAATTTTCTGCTTCACTTATCTTCCAGTAGGTCCTTTGGGCTGTCATCATTTGACCCGATTTAAGGAGTACAATGCACCCCATTATACTTAGTTGTAGCGCTGATACTTGTGTGCTAACCCCCTGCTCAAAACCAGAACTGTTCTCATATAGTCCTACAGTACCTGCTTCACAGGACGAAGGGAGCCAATCACTTTCCAGCCACTGTGTTCATCCCAGTTTGAAATCTCACTGGGCTCCAGCAGAATCTGCTTTCCTAAGAAATTACATCCCTCGTATGCAATCCACCTGGACACAGGAACAGAACATTGAAGAATACACATTAGCCACAGCAGAACTGAACTGCAGGCTTGGGTTCATGAAAGTCAGCAAACCTCCCCACAGCAGTGCTCCTATCAAACCTCTGTTGCCACACTGCAAAACGCCATCCATTTCAGTGATTTAACCGTTTTCAGTCTAAATTAAGAGCTATTTTCTGTTTGCCTGCCTGAAACTTGCAAACTCCGCTCCCCCCAGTTTTTCCCCACAAATAAAATAACCTCTGCATGAACCCAGATGCAACTAATGGAGGTTTCACTGGGATGCATTTGGAATCCAGAAAGCCACATACCACAATGCGCTACTTCCATCTTTGCCTGGTGGTACATCTCAGTTATGAGAGGGTCTTGTGTAATGTTTTCTTTTGTTATAAATAAAGCTTTTTATAGCTATTTCTATAGCTGTTGTCTGAAAACACACATAAAATACTCCAAAACCTACACAATGCTCCAACAGACTTTCCTGTAGTGAATACATCTGAGCCATGGACACAGCTGAACCCTTTAACACAGAGTTAAAGCACAAGCAAATACAGCTCTCTTGTTATCCAGGCATCTGCTCAGTAAGTACTGTGTAGCTGCTTACAAAGGCAGCCTCTGGATCACAGATTGGTTTTGTTTGTATCAATAGGACACTGTTGTGCAGGCAGTGAATCCTAAATGCCTGACTCATTAACTCATCCAAACATAAGGAAAACACTGGTTTCCCCACATTACCTGTTTTACAGGTCAGCTGCCAGGCACACGAGGGATGGCTGCACTCTTTAGGCATCCACAGCGCTCACAGCACCTGTAATTTACCTTTTCCCATTGCTAATGTGGAGAAACTGCCAGCCAGCCCTGCTCAGGACTCCAGGGAGGCTGAACGTGCCAACCATGAATGCCTCTTAAAGAGCCTGTCTCTTCAGATTAAGCCCCATACCTCCTGCCTACCAGGTATTCAGAGCAGCCTGACCACCACTGTGTGCTCCTTATACTTGTAATGCATTCCTGACTTTCTTTCTTGCCAATCGTCAAGTCAATGAGAATTCACTGTTCATGTTCTTGGAGCACCTCATGTGAAATGCGGTTTCAAAGCTGACATATGTAGAAAACAGTATCGAAACTGTTACAGTAATAACCACGTGAAGCCAGGTTGGGCTTCAGGCATTCAGTGGCACAGACAAAGCTCATCTTGGCTCTGATGCTGATCAGCAGCCTCCCCTGTGCCATCTTTCCCACACCTTGGAGTACATCAGTCCCTAGCCCCTTTTGCAAAGTCACAGTCCAGGCTTGGGCTGTTCCTCAGTGAGGAGGTCAGGAAGGATCCTCAAGCCTAGGCCTGGCAGCAAGATGCCAATATAGGTATATTTACTTAAACCTTTGCCGTTTGTCTAAAGCTGACAGTGGGCTCTGGGGCAAGGAGCCAAAACCCCTCTAAATCCACCTTCCTGAACACTTCATCACAGATAAGGCAAGCAAACCCCATACAGACATTCCACAGACCTCCCACAATCATGTCACCCTCAGCCTTGAGGCTACCTAGCTGCAATGAGGCACAGGGACAGGCTGGGGAGCTCTGTTTCCTACAGAGCTTCGAAAGCCCAGCCATTCTGCCCTGACCTTTCCCAGAGCCAGGGAAGCACCTAACCTGGCTTGGATACTCAGGACCAAAGAGAAAGATGGACAAAGGGCTCATCTGTTGCGCTCTCAGTTCTTTTCTCCTGTGTGGTACCAAAGCCATCATCCTTCCTTTACAGCCAGCTTCGGGGGCAACGGGAGAGGGCAGAGAAAGCTCATGAAGAGACATACCCCAACAGGACACACTTCAGGCTGTCAGATCTCCAACAAAGGCATGAACATTTACATGCTGCCATCAGATATAAGTCAGGTATTCTTCCAGGAGAAAGCCTTTCCTTCTCCAAACAAGCACAGACCAAGGGTGATGCGTGTATGCTGCCCTCAGCCTCAGACAGCAGCTGCTTGGTACTGTCACCTGAGGCACCTCAAGACAACAGCAGCAGCAGATGGTCCCTTACTCCCTGTATTTCCAGCAAGGGCTCAGCAGTGTTATCACAGGTATTCCTAGAAGGGTTTTGACTACTAAGTGGTAACAGACTAGGTGCATTGAAAAGCTCACCATAAGAATCACACAGATACACCTAAGCCATGAACAGTCTATACTGATTATATGCCCAATTAGTTCAGATTCTGCATGGTTTAGTGTCATCCCACAAGATCTCTCGAGAAAATTACAGCCTTGTCTATGTGGGAAAGGTGGGGAAAAGGTTAAATAAACAGGAAATGTGTCACATTGGAAAAACACCAGTTTCCAGTCAGTCTCAGTTACAGGATGAGATTCTGCAAGTTATTTGTTGCTGCTGAGGGTGTGGAGGCTGAAAACCTGGCCCAGACAGAGTCCTTGGGAGCTTCTCCAAAAGGCGAAAGGGAGAAATGCGGCAGAGGTTAGGGTTAGGTGGTCACTTCTGCAGATATAAAATGGTTTTCACAGAAGGTCCTGGGTGTGTCTTGACAGTCATGGAGGGGGTTAGACTAATAACAGAGCAAATCACTGTTCCAGCTGTCACATCCACCCTGAGCTTCTCTCACAAGCTCTTTGGCAGCCAATGAGCATGTCAAGCTCCACTGAACCACTGCAGTGCTTCAAGTTAAATCACTGCAGTGCTTCAAGTTAAATCACTGCAGTTTATAGCTGGTGTTTTCCAGCCAGTTAATAATGGCATTCTGAGTTTACTCCACCTGTCTTTGTAAGTCAGCAATCAAAACTTACTTCTGGTTCCTGACTTGAACAACAGGCTCCATTGTTCCTTACCGTATAGGGATAAAAGGACATATAGGGATAAAAGGATGATTCTTCCAGAGGGAAATATACCCTCTGTTCAGTTGTTGTTCGTTTTGAATCCTGATACAAAAAGTAAGTCTAACACTCAACCACATTTTAGGATTTTATATTGTCACAAAATAGAAGTTAGAATGTAAAACACGTCCTATGAAAAAAAGGAGAAAATGCATGTTCAGTTATTATCAGCCATAGTGCAAAACTGACGAGAACGTTTCTTCCATACTTACAATCCACTTCTCACCCACACAGACTGAGTGTAAAAATGAAGGTCCTCATTCAAAACAGAATTGATTGGTTCACTGAAGTGCAGCTCTCTGCCCTTGCAGCATTCCAGAGCAAACAGACTGATGGAGGGCTCAGCAAAAACCTGGGAGGGAAGAAAGAAAGCAAAGCTTAACTAGGAATAGTCTAACTTCAGTTGTTAAGTGTGTGATGTGTGCACATGGGCCCACTTCAGCTTAATTTCCACATGCTTCTGGGTTGGATCACGCTCCCTCAGCAGTAACATAAGGAAAAGGAAAATGCACGTCCACTGACAAAGCACACGGAGCTGAAACACCGGATTTATGGGTGTCTTTGTCAGCAAGGTGCCCCACTGACACAGGCCAGACACAGGGAGTCACTTCCAAGATGCAGAGTGATTCGGAGAAAATTCCAGGAACAAACTTGCCAACAAAGTGCCTCTGGTCACATCTGAAAAATCTCTTTTTGATCTGGTTTGTATTATGAGGGCCTTGGTTCCTTCTCCTAACTCCATTTTCTCACTGATGGAGAAGGTTACAGCAGTAGTTTTCAGGGCGATCTGTGGATTGCGTCTGAAGTAGTGAGGCAAATCACAAGCCTGTTGTCTATGGACTTCAATTAGCAGTGGTTCACTGAAAAGTCTTAGGGATCTACAGATTGAAAAAGGTTAAAAACATCAGAACTAAGAAGTTCTCCATGTTTTTAGAGGCATTCCCATTATTCTCCTGACAACCTTGAAGAAGCAGTGTAATCAGTAACCCCTTCAAGCTCATGCAGAACTGAAAGGTTTTTCACTCAATGTCCTTCTCCACAGTTGAGAGATTGCCTACGAAAGCAAATAAAAAGATCAGTTTGCACAAAAAATGTGGTGCAGCTGTAAGATGAGCAGAAAAGCACAAAGGGAACAGACTGAAATACATCAAGTCTGTGCCTTAGTACAAGGAACACTTGTACAGTCTTCCAGCATTGTTAACCTGAAACTGTAAGGGGAGTATCGTGACCAAAATCATAAGCATTGTAACTTATATCCTGATGCAGCTGGTAAAGGAAGAGGGAACAGGTCTGAGTAACTGCTTCAATCAGCAACCCCTTCCCAAGGAAGCCACTTTGCTCTTTGGAAACGTTACCTTGGGACTATGAGCCCAGGCAAAACGCAGGGTTTCTTCTTTAGTGAAGCCATGACCTCAGGTGGGACAAATGAAACAAAATCCTGAATTAAAGCTGACACAGGCACTGCATAATGAAGACAACTCCACTTTCATGCTTGAAGAGGCACATGTGTTGTAGTGCAGTGCCCCTGAAGAGCTCAGGGGTGATTCAGGACTTACCAATTTACTGGCACCGACTCAGTGCACTTGGTATGTATACGGTTGTTCAAATCCTGCCCCAGAAAAATTGCTTTCCTCTGCTAACCAGTGCAGGGACAATGTAAGCCATGCAACACTGCATGGACAGGGAGTTTGCTGACACATTTAAAAGCAGGGCCTGGGATCATCCACCCAGAAAGACTTTTAAAGCCCACTGCGCTCCTAAAAAACTAATGGCACAATACAGAAGGAGACTGAAACCCATAACGTGTTTGTGTTTCTATGTCAGTTCTTCCCACCTACCTTCTACTGGATGAGGTGACTCTAAAGGTTTACTCTAAAATGAGCCTAAAGGTCTTACTTACAAGACCTAGTGCAGGCTGCTTTGCTCAGGAAGACAGTATCATCACAAACAAGTTTGCAAATGCCTGCTCCCTCAGCACTGGTTTTCACTTGAGTGGAGACCAGAAGCCATGTCCAGAACAGGTCCAATTTTCACAAGTGCATTAGCAACTATGGGAAACACCATTTGACACCCTTATTGCTAGAAGTTGTTCCCAAAACCTAAAATTCATGTTGCTTTTGCAATATTCAATACGTTAAGAGACAAGGGATGCCGTACAAGATGAACAAGTCATCTGATCCAGCACATCCACTTGTACACCAAGAATCAGAACAGCAAATTGCTGGGGTCAGTTAAGTGACTTATAGCTCTTCTGTGGTGGAGGCTGTTTGAACTTACTAGATCTGAGCAAGCCCCATCTGGTTGCTAAGGCTCCCAAGCCTGTTAGTACACAGCAGACATTGCACCTATGACACACACACACAACCCATCATCAGGACACAGACCACCTTTCCAGGGGGACCTCAGGACTCCACTGACCTTGGCATGGATGTGAAGGACAGAATAAATAAAACATGCTGCTGCCTCAAGCGCTGAAGCTCTTGTATTTCCATAACCAAACACAGAGCAACGAGCCGATTACTCACTTTATATATACCGCTTTACACCAACAGCTGGCAGCAAAGACCTGGCCTGGCTTTCTTCTCTGATTCTGTTTTCACAGCTCCATGGAAACCACAAACAGCAAAACCCAGGGTTCTGAGGCTATGCAGTTACGTTTACTACAGAGGATCTTGCTCCCACCCTTCCTCCTATCCTGACAGGAAAAGGAGGAACAGGGCAACTGGGCAGAGAATACAACAGCTGCTTTAGGTGGACCCCAGTCCCCAGTTTTGGAAGGTGAGCTGAAGACATCTACATTTACCCACGACTGGCAAATTATTCCCATGTCTGGGTCAGGATTACCTTTGCTTCCTTCTGTAGTTATTTCAAGGAGAACACTAGAAATGCCGTCCTCTGGGGGAAGCTTGCCAACTGCAACAGTTGACAGAGCACTAAGGAATTACTTTACCTGATCTTTGTGCATTAAGGAACTGTCTTGCTTAAACCAGCACCAATTAAGTTTCAATAGGTTTTGCTTGCCCTGGTTTTGAATGCTAGTGTCCAGGGAGAAGCTTGAAGAGATTTAATACATTCAAGAGGCCAGTGATTAAGGAAGGCTGTATTTACATAGCACTTCAAGACATAAGCAGCATTGTAAACTGTTAAACACAGTGATACTCTTTACTTAGCAGGTGTGGTAGTCTATGGCTCATGCAGCACGCCATGCAATGAAAGAGGCACAGCTTGATTCTTTTCCTCCCCACCGTGTGATTTCAGAGGCTGAAAAGCAAGCCAAGGAAATCAATGTATTAAAAATCCCTTGCACAGCTCAACTCAGCTCAGACTTTCCCCCCCGTGACTTCTACCTTTTTTAACCAGAGAAGCCAGGCACCACTGGTGTTTCACAAGTCAGAATAGAATTTCATGTTTTGCCAGTTCAGAAACAGATGCAATGCAAGCCTCATTTGATATTAAACAAAGATCAGTGCAAGAGGAGCGTCCTTCAAATGCCTTTTGTTTGCAGTACAAGGCTTAAGTGCTTGACCCATGGTAAGGCAACAGCAGACACAAAGAAGCTCACCCAGAGATGCCAGAGTTGAGATCCAAGTGCATGGGTGAATGTGCACACAGGCTTATAATAAAAACAAGTAGAGTTTTAGCTATGGATAACATCAGGGTCATTTCTCATTATGAACTTTGTGCAAATTATTACTGAACAAGCTCTTTTGAGAAGGACTCGCCTCAAAACATTCTGCTCCTCATACCTTTTTTTGCAAGCTTAGATTTTGCAGATTTTGAAGGGAAAGCCTAATAAAGCCAAAGAAAGAAATCCATGGGGCCACACTACGGCATGACTGTAACCCAACCATTGCAAGGGTTATCACAGAATCAACTAGGTTGGAAAAGATCTTTAAGATCATTAAGTCCAACCGTTACCCCAGCACAGCCAAGACCACCACTGAACCGTGCCACTGAGGGCCTCATAGACACGGGTTTTGAACACTTGCAGGGATGGTGACTCCACACTGCCCTGGGCAGCCTGTTCCAATGCCTGAGCACCCTTGATGAAGAATGCTTCCCAATAACCAGTCTAAATCTCCCCTGGCACAGCTTGAGGCCATTTCTTGTTGTCCTATCGCTTGTCCCTTGGGAGCAGAGCACAGCCCCCTCCTGGCTCCATCCTCCTGTCAGGCAGTTGTAGAAAATCATAATGTCCTCACTAAGCCTTCTCTTCTCCAGACTGAACCCCGCAGGTCCCTCAGCCGTTCCCCATCACACTTGTGCTCCAGGCCCTGCACCAACTCTACTGCCCTTTTCTAGACCCACTCCAGCACTTCAATGTCTCTCTTGCAGTGAGGGGCCCAGAACTGAGCACAGGATTCGAGCTGCAGCCTCACCAGTGCCCAGTACAGGGGTATTATTACTTCCCTAGTCTGGCTAGCCACACTTCATGTCCCTGCTGCTCTGCAAACACCATTTGCCAGAGCCTTAATTGGAGGAGCCTCCACAGCTGTGTTACACCATCCCTGGAAAAACCTTTAGTCTTGGCTAACTCCTCATTTACAACTGCCTTTACTGAAGCTGCACTCGCCTGGCTACTCCCTTCAGTGTGGGAAGGACGCCTGGCTGAGGAAGAGGAACACTGTGCTGGATGACAGGAACACCCACAGTCCAGTCCCAGCTCCACAGAATGACTCATTGACTGGCCCTGGGAAACACGGATTCAATTTTGTATCTGATTTCATTACTTGCCTCACAGGAATGCTGGGGAGATTAGTTAACACCTGTATTTAACTAAGATAATCAATGCAGAAACACACAAACTATCACAGCAAGAATAAGGAATGCCTCAAAAGAAAAGATAAGAAAACAAACAAAAAGGAATTAAAGCCAAAGACGTTGTGCAACCTAAAACCCAGATCTCATTTTTGTTTTTAGAAACTGTAAGACTTAACTTCAGCCCTAAAGTTAGGCAACATTATAGAAGGAAAAGTAATTGCTCACTGCAACAGCCCTGGATGCTCTAGTCCACGTTAAGTCACACCAAGCATTACAGGCAGTTTGGCAAAATAACATGATTGAGACAAGGCAGCACTAGAGCTGAACTTCCCATTGAAAGAACATCCTATAAGGGTTTCTATCCCAAAAGATTAACCTCTTCAAGCAACAAACACTGGACAACAGCCCCCATAAGCAACCCTGGCCCTCTGAGTGGCGCGGCTGCCTTTACGCGTTCTCTTGCCACCAGGTGAGTGGCCCACACTTTCCCTTCCACGAATCCATGGCCACGCAGATGTTAAGTCCTTGCTGATGCAGGCAAGGAAACCTGCACCTCTGCAGAAAATGCAGCAACCCTTAACCTGGGCTTTGCTTTTGCCTGCCTGCAGAATTGTTATTAACAGTAAGAAGCAGCTTACATTCATTCCAGTGTTCCTCCTACCACTAATAAACACATGTGTAGCCATCTAATGGTAAGTGGGCTTCCAAAGTGTGTCACTACCTGCTCACGTAAAGACAGACATTCCTGTGACACTTCTTAGCATATTTTCCACACAAAATTGTATATGAATAAGACTGTTCTTTCAGAAGCATTCACCTTTTCAGAAGGGAAGGTGCCTTGTAACACAATGCTATTCAATATGCAATCTCGATTAATACATGGATATTACAACACTTTTTTCCCTCCCAGAACACCAAAAACACAGGACATTATTTTCTCATTATCAAGATACAAATATGCTTTGTTTCTTCTTTGTATCCTCTGATTAACCTACCGCTTTTCCTGAACACTCCCAGAAGGAGAAAATAGTCAATTTCTGAGAGAACTGGATCAGGAGGAGCAAAAATACAGGTAAGGCCTATTAAAGATTTAGCTGAAGTATTATACACCTCAGAGAATAAGCCAAGATGGAAAGAGGCTCCTAGGAATAAGGGAACACCTTTCCCACTCTCCTTACAAACCTGCCAAACTCTGCCAACAGAATCACACCCATGCCATGGAGTACTACAAGTATGTACCTTTAATTCCCAAATTCTCATTCCAAAATGCAGAGGCCAGAAATCCTGTGGCACCTGACAACATCCCAAAAGCTCCTCAAAACTGTAACAGATTTGAAGTGAAAACTCAGAAAGTTACACTGAAGGTACTGCTGCATGCAACAGAAAAAAAGAAAGCTGGATGTTCCTTTTAGTTACTGGAACAGAAAGGACATCTTGATTCAGAGTAACTCGTGTGGCCAAGCTGCACATCCCACATGTGTCAGTGGCCTGTGCTGACTGCTCCGTTTCACAGCTACTCTGGAGTCAGTCCCACACAAATCATCTGTACTCTTACATATACCCTGAAGAGGCCCAGAGTTGGGACTTCACTCAGCTGTACAGTATCAATGTAACACATCATTAGTTATCACTACAATCAGGCAAATTAGGAAGGGAATACCCAGATCCCAGGTCCCCATTTCCTCCAACAGATTTGTTCTCCTATCCCAAAGGACTGGCTGAAACAATCTACTTCTTAAAGATACAGCTGGACCACACCTACACCAGTCAACAGTCTTGGACCATCTTCAAAGGCTGGTAATGAGCAAGCCTTATGAGTCCTTTGTACTGCTAAAAGCGTATTTTGTTTCCCGTCTGCCAGTGCCACACATGGGTCTCTACTTGTAGTCAGCATCTGGGAAGCAGAAACCTCACACACTGAAGCAATACATGGCTCCCCCCCAGCATGAGAGTCCTTCCAACAGTCACACTTAACAGTAAATACATCTCACTTAAAGGAAAGCAGGAGACAATGCACATTCAGAGCTTGGTGTCAGGGTCAAACATTCTTCCTCTCACACATAAGCTACTGAGATACACACCTTGGGTCTGAGCTTGGGCTGGTATTTAAAACTCAATAATAAACCTGATGTCACAACTGAATTCAATAAAGCTGCACAACAATTCCACTTGGGAATATGTCTGCTGTTCTCTTGAATGAGCTAACAAAAATATCTTGTAATAAGAAGGGCTCTGTTCCAAGAACAGTGCACTGTGGACAATGCACAGAATGAACTACGGCTGTTTCTGACCACTGACGAAACTTAGGGCTGCGTGCTTAACATCACGTCTGTACTACACAACGGCTCGAGTGCTGTCCCAGGCTATCAGCACACACAATGCATAAGGAGCTGATGAGGGCGTTACTATTTGTGAAACAGGTGTAGTTCAATAGCGTTTTATGCTGTTGAGTACCTTGGTTTTGTAAAATACAAGGGCTATTTGCAAGAGAGAACTGAACTATGAGGTGCAAGGCATTTACAAAGTACAGGAAGATGTGTGTAAGCTTCCCACACTTGGCCTGCCAAACACACTTCTCCCAGAGCTTGGCCTTTGGTAAATCAAGGGCTGCCAGTAGCTTCTTACTACGCCAAACTGCATAGTAACTTCCCTGTGAGGTGACAGGCTGGGGGATTAGAATAAGACATACCACTTCATGTCAAAACTTCCCTCTGGTTTAACAGAGTCCAAAAGCCTAATGTGAAAAGGAGATCTTTAATCTGAAACCCAGGCTCTCAGCAGGTGGGAAGCTATAGCTTGAGTGAAGTCACCGTATCTATGTAACTTAGAGAGACCAGCTCTCAAAGCCCATGGCTTTTAGTGTTTGGTTTTGTTGTTGTGATGAATTGACCACAAGCCCCATTCCCTATCCCATTGTGCCAATGCTGTAAGAGAAGGTAGAGAGAACTGGGAGCAAAGTTAAGCCTGGGAAGAAGGGAGGGGTAGGAGGAAGGTGTTTTTAAGACTTCATCTTATTTCTCGTTACCCTGCTCTGATCTGATTCGTAATAAATGAATTTCTCACCAAGTCGAGTCTGTTTTGCTCATGATGGTAACCAGTGAGTGATCTCTCCCTGTCCTTATCTCAGCCCATGAACCTTTCATTGTATTTTCTCTCTCCTGTCCAGTTGAAAATGGGTAGTGATAGGGTGGCTTTGGTGGGCACCTGGCACCCAGCCAGAGTCAACTGACCACAAGAGCAGTCAGGAAAATGCCAACTAATACAACTTGGACAAAAGAGAGCAACTCTGAGCCTAGAACACCCAAAAGTATGTCCCTACAAGTGACCACGTACACGCATACATGAAGCCTGGCTTCTTCCCAGCCCCCAAAAAAGTAAGCCAAGAAACCAAACTTCAGGCTATTCCCTGAGTGAGAGTTTGTTTAGCACAAGCACTTGCTTCAGACATCTGACTAGGAAAACAGTTCCAACAGGTTACATTTTTTTTTTGCTATAAAGTCCTTACATATTGAATAGGCTTGAGGGATTTGATTGTAGCAGTCGGGCAGCCACAGGAACTGAGGTCAACGTAGAGGCCTTCTTCCAGCACACAGTGATTGTCAGTGGTTTCCCCTTGGTAATACAGGAGCCAACTGCAAGAATAATATAACAGAAGAGATCAGCTGCCCCAGCTGCTTATGAAGTTTCTTTCAAGATTTAATGTTTGCTAAGGAAATAAGGAATAAAAAAAATGTTTGTTCCTGTTAAGTTTAAAAGTAACATGACTTGAAATGCTACAGGACAAAGCAACCACAATAGGAAAAATCAGATCATGTGGTACAGAAATCTCAGTTCCCGAGTCAAACGATGCAAGTGGAATGCAGACACTTCTTCTGCACCAAGTTTTCAAAATCTGGAATAAATTCTAACTGGAGTAAAAACAAGAATTACAGTAACTGTGCAAACTTCCCACGGGGAAAGGAAAATGCACACTACCCAAAGCAATGAGAAGACAACAGTTACTGAGATGCACTGCAAGACAAAGGGTCTAATACATGATGGAATACGATGCGCATGTGTTATGCACTTACAGCTGTCTGAAACATAGTAATGGTTAAAAAATCCAGTTTTCCTATTACTTAAAATGGTGGCATGTAAAACAAGACTTACCATCCCCGAAGAACCTTAAAAGAACATGGTATGAATGATGTAAAATCAGAAACTTCTGCTGTGAAATCTATACATGCTCCTTGGAAATGTGTATTACTGAAAGCTTTGAGCTACAAGAACAAAACAAAACAAAACCAATGACTAGAAGGAAAACAAATGCATTATCATTAATGTAAACAGAGATAGCTGTGCTCTTAGAGAATCAATCATAAAATAGTTTGGATTGGAAGGGATCATCTAAGCCCAACCCCCCTGCAATAAGCAGGGATAATGAGAAGTACCCATTCAATTCACAAAGATACAATAAATAGAATGAATTCTCATTAAAAGCATCTTCTATGTTTCCACAGCTGCCTTATTTTGAGAAAGACAAAGTGTTTTATGATCTCTGGGCCCAGTACAGGATGCTTCCCAGTGATACTAAGGCAGACGGTATCAAACATAAGTTCAACTGCAGCAGGCGAGGGCCCAGAGAAAAAGAAGTCTAGGACTGAATGATGTTATGTTCCATCCAAAGTACCCCTGAACCGCAGTGCTCTTGCTACAGCTCAACAAGCTAGTGTTCAGAACAGGATGGGGAAGCGTTGGTCAAAAGATAAAGGGCCTTGAAATCTTCTGTGACTGCAGTGATCACAGACAGCTTCTCATTTAAGACTAGCAGGAGAATTTCTGCAGGAACTGGGTACAGCCTTCTAGATGCACTAGGAACTTCAAAAGTTAAGCTAAGCTGATTCTACATGCTGCAGTGAAGAACTTCAAACCACACTGAACCATACCCTGCTGGTTAAGATGTGACCAATGCAGCCTGAAACAGCAACAAGATTGAAAGCGTTGCAGTAAAAGAATAAAGGAAAACAAGGAAAAAAAAAATAGAATGATATAACTTATGATCTATTGCAAAGTTGCCTAGAATTCTGTACCCTTGGGCTGCCCCTGTGTAACTGAAGTGAATTTCACTTTAAAGCCTGAAGAAAGGTTGGAAAAGAATTAAAACTTTAACTGCATCAAAAGAACAGCCCATAGTCTGTAATGGAAGAAAAACACGATGGCTGTTGCAAGAGCTACTTCCCCCTTCACGCCCCAAACTGGCCTAGCTTCCTGCCAAAGAAATCAAACGCCTTCGCCAGTACACAGAGAGAAGGCCAAACACAAATATCGGCAAATGGTTTTATGGAAAAGCTCAGCCTGTGTTTTTAAAAGAAATAAACATGTTTCCTGTTAGAACAAGAAAGGCTTAACCTGGCCTTGCATGCTGTAACTGCAACTTAGAGAGCACAAATCACCTACAATATAATGAATAAAGTCTGGGTTTTCTGTAAATATAACTGCACTGCCATGTCAGAAAGCAGCTATTTAAGCTGTAATTACATAGTGTTTTCTGCCCACTTACCTCAAAACTCTATAAAGGTGTGTGTGCATATACATGCACACACGCATACCTTCTGTCTTCATAGGCCATGTGCTATGCAAGGCTTTTAAAAAGATCTATAACTCATTTTTATACAGAATATGTATAATTGTGAATGATGGTCTTACTTTTACAAAAGCTGGGGTGAAGCTCTGATTCCTCAGTGAAAACACTGCATTGTAAAAACATTTACATTGGAAAAGACACTTGAGATCTGTTCCAACTGTAAATCTAACAATGCCGAGTCCACACCTAAACCAAGTCCCTAAGCACCATGTTTACACATTTCCTAAACACGTCCAGGAAATCAGTCTCAGACTGCAGGTATCTCCACTTTGTCAGGATTTTACATTACTGTATAGGATCATAGAATCATAGAATTTTTAGGGTTGGAAAGGACCTTAAGATCATCAAGTTGCAACCCCCATGCCATGGGCAGAGACACCTCACACAAAACCATATCACCCAAGGCCTCGTCCAACCTGGTCTTGGACACTGCCAAGGATGGAACATTCACAGCTTCCCTGGGCAACCCATTCCAGTGCCTCACCACCCTAACAGGAAAGAATTTCCTCCTTATATCCAATCTAAACTTCCCCGTTTAAGTTTTAACCCGTTACCCCTTGCCCTATCACTACAGTCCCTAATGAAGAGTCCCTCCCCAGCATCCCTATAGGCCCCCTTCAGGTTTTGCTTCCTAAAAACTCAACAGACAGCATGTTAAATATAAATGCAACTTATCATAGCAATTACCCCTGCTTCCTCAATTATCTGTACAAGTCAGCTGCTATTGAAAGAGGCTTTGTTCTTACTGGGCAAAACCAAGTTTTAATAAATAAAATGAATGGCTTTATAGAATTGGTGATTTCAGGCATTCTTACATTGTACGTACTTTGTTTATATGGCAGGAGGAAAAGGTCAGGGAAGCTACCAAGAGATTTAAGAGAATTTAGTTGCTTTGAAAAGTGAAGTGCAAAAAGACACAATCTTGTACACCGCTACAACAGTTCCCTTAGCTCAGAACTATGTTTATTAAAGGTGGAAAAATGTATATCCTTCAAAATAACTAGTATGTGGCTTATACAAACGTCAAGCATTCGGATGCTTAAGGATTTGCCAGATCATACACACCCTGATTTGATTTTCCAACCTAAGAGACTTTTATTCTACTCTGAATGGAGAACTCGTCATATTTAGCCAAAAGACCGCCCTTTACCCATCCTATGCAATTAAATGTTTTCCCATTAAAACTTACTCAAAATAACTCCCCTCCTAAAAGAACTGTAGCAATACGAATGATGTTCCTCCTTCTCTAGCCTTGGGGCAGAACCCTGGGAAAACCAGGGTTGTGATAAATCAGAACAGTATTCTTTCCACATGGTGTTAAGACTGGTGTTAGAAGACACAAAAGACAAAACACTATCTAGTACATATCAGTATTTAAAGGTGATTGTGCATATACACACACAGAGTTGGCTTTTTGTGTCTTACTCATTACTGGAAATAAAGACTGTAAAGCACAATTTACTGAAACTTTAAAGGTTTGAATGTATCTTCAAGGTCTGCAAAACTGGACTAAAGCACTCAAAGAACAGTTTTTGGAAGAGCCTCAAAAAAACAGAATCCTTGAAGGTGGAAGAGAAAAATACCTTCAACTGTTTGGATCCCACCGGTCTCTGAGTTGATTACTTTACGTGGTATCATTTACCAAGGCCTTACTGGGAACACACTTGCAAGTCTTTGGATTTGGCCACAAACTGCCATATGAATAGGTCGGGCAGGAAGTAAGTGTTTAAGACTAAAATAATACCCTAATTATGTCTTCAGACAGGAAGCATTTCCTGTAGTCCTGGGTTAATCATAAAATTGTAGAGCTAGAATACTTGAAGAAAAAAGCAGGGTGCGGTCCACCTGCTAAGTAATACAATGCATGTATTTCCCATGCACTTACGGCTATTATACCTATCCAAGGCAGAAAGAGCAAAACTGCATTCACATGGCAAAACACTTAAGTTTTCTGTGAGATAATCACTGAGCTCTAAAGCCTCTTTTATCTGAAATGTCCTGTTTCTTGAAGAGAATTTGCCTAATCAAAAGCATGTCATAGACAGAGTAATACAACCACAGATCATCACCCAGGCTAGCAGCACACTCCAGGACAGAAAAAGAGAAACCAAACAACTAAAGCAGGAATGGAGGAGAGCTCTGTTGGGACAGAGTGTTGCAGGAGACACAGACCACACTTGGTGAGGAGCACAAACACTTAGAGCAGGTTTTTGTTTTAGAAAGGCATCACAAAGGTACATTACTGGAATCTAACCTTGTAAGGTAAGGACCAAAAGTGTAAAACCTCCAACTAACTTGTTCTTGAGACTAAAAGTGAATTATAGAGACTGTTTTCTTTTTGTAAGTTGTCACCAAAGTACACACCACTTGCAAGGAAATAGTCAGAACCTATCGTACAAGAGATTTATCACAGATTGATTATAACCAGGAAGCATGGAGTAAGTGGTGCTTATTCCTTAAGGAGTAGCTATACATACCTGAGAGACTATGAGAAGCAGAGTGACCAGCAAATGCGACTAAAACCCACAACTTCCCCTGTTGATGCATATGCAGGTATGAAGACTGCAGTTCAATTTTCTGCAGTTTATACTTCCTACTTCACTTCATACATGAACAAGACAGTGACAAGCAGATACAGTGCAAAATAATGGAAAGAAAATAAGCCACAGAGAAGGATAAATGCATGTGATAGTGAGTTACCAGGAACAGGAAGGAAAGAATAAAAAGAGATCCATCCAAAGTCACTCAAAACCTACTGAACTGCTTGTATTTTTGAGGACATAATACTAAAGGGTATGATTCAGAATACAGCAACAGCAGAATGTTAGCAAACTTAACTGTTATACATCTACCCGTTTCCTCCATCAGTGGTCTGCTGCATGAAAATGGTAATACTAAGATACCATTTGAAGTAATGAAGCAAGACATTCAAGATTACCTGTATTTAATTATTAACTATAGTTTAGTACTAGAGACTGTTATATAGCATCAACATACCAAATGTGGAGGCTCATTCATTCCAAGTGGTTCCTGCAATAATAAATATATACACACACATATAAATAAATCAAACTAATTGCTATTCATTTCCTAGAAGTCAAGTCATGCTCCTCAAATTTGTTGATTACCAAGTCAAGTACAGAGAAAAACAATTCCCAGGCTCTCAGCACAATTCTCCTCCCTGGTCTTGGCCACCAGCTGCCTGCAAACTCATGACTACCTGCCTGACTGTTCAGTGCCATTCACACAAAGAACTTGCATCAGCACTGATCAGTTCACGTAATGGGGATTAGAGTCCATGTCAATATCTCTGCATTTATTTTTGAGTCTATTTCTTCAAAAAAGACAGAATGAAAAACAACAGCAGACTGACAACTTCTTCAACATGTGCTCTTCAAAATAAGGTTAAATGTTCCTTCCTTGTTTTCAGTGTATTGTATCACTTATTATGTATTTATTATTGAGAATTGTCTTTGCTCTGCATCATGGTTTTGAAGTTCTGGCACTATTCTATTTGGGCAAGTTGTACTACCTTAGATTTAATAATGGATTAAAAAGATCTCCTGTCTTTATTTCCTATATGCATCACAAATATTGTAGCATAAATACTGAAAAGAAGTCAGACTTCTACTATACAACAACATGTGGGTCAGGTAAGTTTTCAAGTACTTTTATATCCATTGATAGTGGATATAAAGGCATTATAAATTACTATGTTTTAAGGCAAATCAAGTTTTTCAGGCCATGCTGTTCTTTCCATGAGTGAAGTCTGACAAATGGAACTTCTTCTTACAAAGTTTCCCTGATAATTCTTCTCAACAGAAAGAAAGATCCAGAGTATCCATTTCAGTTTCCATCCTGAACAGACACTTTGTCATTCACATACAAATTGTTTCCAAGTAAACAGACAAACTGATTAAACAGCACAGCAACATTATTGTACACTCTGAACTCCAAAGGTCTTAATTCTTTTAAGTTTCCCCCTTAACAAGTTCCAGTAACTCACCAACTTAATAGGTCGAATCGACATGATGATTTTACTAGATGCTCCCCAGTCAAAGAAACATTTGTATTTTCCTTTCTCCAGCACATATTGTTCTCCACAGAAGTATTTCTGCTGATATGCAATCCACCTGGAGAATGAGACAAAAATTAAACTGAAAACGTAGAAAACGTAGTTTGGTGAAATTACTAACAAGTTAAATGGAACTATTGTCTTTGGAGTTTCCTTGGCAAGTGCATCTGACAGACAATGCAATACTAATCCCAAAGAGAAGCATGTAACTATCTCACACTTGATTTTCTACTTTTACTTTGCAAACACTACTTTGACACAGTTACTGGCTGGGCTTAAACCATGACACCCACTATTGTTACTTGTCCTAGAGTCTGAATCTTTCATAGTGCCACTTAACGGTTGCTGATCCCTACAGTCATCATCATTAGGGTAGGTATGACAATCTTAATACTGCACTTTTAACATTACTATTAAAGTCTGGAATTTCCACCCATGACTCCACAGTGCTCTTTTCCCATAATGTATTTTATGTTTTAGCACTTGATACCATTCTGTACTACTTCCTTGCCTATAAGAGCCTACTCCATCCTTCCTAAAGAGTTTGTAGCTCCTCTGCTTATCCTTCCTGTGGATTTCTTCAGAATCTGCTCTATCAGAGCTGTTAGTTCATCCCAAGCATTCCAGTTCCCCATTCTAATTTTTAGGCTTCTAGCTCCTCTAAGTTTTGCCCTTGCCCCACCAGTTAGTACTGCCTATCTCCGTCTATATACCACTGCAGGTGGTATAATTTATCTCCCTTATTTACTGCAATTGTGGTGTTTATTTTCCTCCTGGACTTCACATATGCACACAAAAAGTCAGCCAAGTCCACCCTGTAGGCTGTATCATCTTGAACCAGGTACTCTACCACACGTGTTCCTTCAATCCCCTGCTTTATAGTTCTCTGAAAAGTATTTTATTTTTAGTGCCAGCAGCCTGACTTCACTACAAATAAGGCATAGATCATCCTTTAAGTATATGTCCCAAAAGGTATCCCAGTTATTAACATACCTAAAATCCCTTTTCTGTATTACTACCAAAACTCCTCTATCATGAAACTACAGTGTGTGAGAAACTACAGTGTGTGAGACATCACAACCTTTCTGTAGTAACAAGAATGCCTGGATCCAAACGAAGGTGTAGGCATGAGATTTAGACAAAACCTAAGATTATTATTTTTTTTCTTCCATTCACCAAGGAAAGGGAAAGAAACATTGCTCTCCCTTTGATGTTTACCACCTGCACCACATGAAACGTATTTCTGAACCCAAACACAACTGTGCACAAAAATACTTAATAGCTCAATCCATGTATTTGAGCAGACTTACACTCCACTTCTCACAAGAATTGACCTTGTCTCTGAACCAAATCCAGCCTTCTCCAAATCAGGGATTTCTTCATTGACGATATCTAATGCTTTCCCGTCTTCATCATCAGACTGAAAAAGTGCCACTGATGACTCTATGAAATCCTAAGAGGCAGAACAGCAGTTAAAAGACAGGCTGTCATAGCTCAGTGACACTTCACAACACAAAACATTTTGGAAAAGAGTTGTTGCCTGAAAAACAGCATTCTATAAAGCAGTGAGGGGAATTAGGTCCCTTGTGGGGATATTTAGGGGATATTCTGGCATTGAAGTGTCTAGCTGGAAGCCTGATATGGCCTTTAGTGGTTTCCACTGACAAGAACCTACTGGTCATGAGCACCACCCGTTCCTCTACGAGGATGACTGAGAGTGCAATGATGCCTGTGTGAGAAAGAGAAGATTCAGGGTTGGGGATTTAGCATTGATCTTCAACAGCGTCACCAATGACCACTCCAAGCATCGCTATGACTACAGTCTTTTACTTTAAGCTCTCCTTCCTCATCCCTTCCAGCAATAAGGCAACAAACATGAAGAGGAAAGACTGGGAAAGATTACCTTTCCAGCACAAGATGTTGGTAGTTTTTGGATACATCCACTGTATGATTAATCACTACAGCTATAAAATAAATCCCACATGACACTGTCACGTTCTCTTTTATACACCCATGTGACACTGCTTTATTCTTTCAGCTTGCATAGCTACTTAATCAGATTACTTGCACAGCTCCAGCTTATTTGAGTTTGGGTTTCAAATCTCCGGCTTTTCAACTACTTAGCAATTTTAGGCACAAAGTTCAGTCACTGCTTGGGAGAACAGAACACAGCAATTCATTCACTTTATTCCTTTAACTTCGATCAAAAAGCATGAACTCAAATCAAATACTTAGCAAAGTTGTAGGAAGTAAAAAATAAGTAGGTCTTGCAAGCAAGAGAAAAGGATTAAGCAAATAAAGGAACTGACACAGATGCACAAATGTATGGAGGACACCATCATAGGAATTATTACACTAAATACTTGCTGCTGTAGCACCAGACACCAACCAGAGAGCAGTAAACTGAAGGCTACACTGAGAAAGCAAAAACACTTAGAAATTAGGACTGTGCCAAGCATGCAGCCAGATTTGTTTGGCCAATTCATCTAACAAGCTCTTTGAGGATACTATGCCTTTGTACAGCATTCAATCACAATTAATAATGAAAACCTATTTTAGAATGAACACTTGCTGTGGCTCAACTTCTCTGCATTGCTTACAGGACAGTAAAGAGTGAGAGAACAAATTCTTTAGTAAACCTGGTCTTCCTGCTACATTGCCCATCTCCTCCTTTCACTTATTAAAAAGATGCAACTACTTCATGTATACACTAGAAATTCAAGTGACAGCTTAGGCAGAATCATCATGAACCACTGCAGCTTCATGCTACTTTTTAGACACAAAAAGGAGGAGTAGGGAAGAAAGAAAACCAGCTACTCTTAAATTGTAAAGCGAGGGACTTCATAGGAGTTCCTGAAAAGCCATTTAGATCAAATCTACAGATAATTCCTTTGACTAAATTTGTAATACTGAAATAAACTCACAATTGTAATTACATTTAATACATGTTTCAAATTCAGCCATCATTTATTCTCCCTAAATTTTCTCTTACAATAAGCAATAGGAAAAAAACTTAAAAATAGACTTTCAGAGCAAGGCAATTCATTTTACACTTGAAAACATTAGTGGGAAAGCTCCAAAGGCATTCTACTCTGCTCCACTGAAAGAAACTCAAATGTCGCTCTTTCCCTGGTCACGACAGCCACAGGCAAACCTCAGCCTCACAGATTCTCTTATGTGACACTGCAGAAAAGAAGCAAATGCAACTGCTCCCCAAAACAGCACAAACTGCTGTCTGCCATCAGGAACAAGCCCTGCATTTGACTCCAGCATGTCCAATATAGATACAGATAGCAGAGTTGGAAGTACTTTGGAGAAAACAATTCTGCAAGTACTTTATATCTCTGCTTTCAAAACACTCCTCAAATCACCACATTAGAGACTGTAAAGACATTGAAGTGCTGGAGTGTGTCCAAAGAAGAGCAACAAAGTCAGTGGAAGGGTCCAGAACACAAGTCTTGTGAGATGCAACTGAGGGAACTGGAGTTGCTTAGTCTGGAGAAGAGGAGGCTCAGAGGGGACCTTATTGCTCTCTGCAGCTGCCTGACAGGAGCTTGTTAGCAAAGAGTTTATCTTCTCCCAAGTAACAAGCAATAGGACAGGAAGAAATGGCCTCGGGTTGTGCCAGGGGAGGTTTAGACTGGATATTAGGAAAAAATTCCTCACTGAAAGGGTTGTCAAGAATTGGAACAGGCGACCCAAGGGAAGTGGTAGAGTCACCACCACTGAAGGTATTTAAAAGGTATGTATACATGGTGCTCAGGGGCACGGTTTAGTGGTGGACTTGGTGCTGTTAGGTTTACAGTTGGACTTGATTACCTTAAAGGTCTTTTCCAACCTAGATGATTCTATGACTGTTCACAGCAGAAATACTGAACACAGAAAAAAACCTAAAAGCTCTTGCAGTATGCCTACCTGTGATTACACCTTCACCAGTGGATGGGAAGGGATGCCTTGCAACAATCCCCTCTGTTGTGTGTGATGTCTAACCTTTCTAATTTGTCAAGAAATTATATTCATGCCTTGGCTCAACTGCAGTCACTGGTATGTGCACAGAAACATGGGTTGGATTTTCCTAGCACTAATAAGGCTCTGGTGGAACCTGTCATGTTGAACACGGTGGCGCAGAAACATCTGAATAGCTTTGCATAGTACTAAGCCACATTAACAGAGCTGGTACTGACACAGGCTAATGAGGCACGTTGTAGCCAGGCTGGCTCTCTGCAGAGCCATTTACATACTTCTGTACCACACTCCCTGCTTTGGGAGCACAGCACAGAGACATTTGATCCGACTCTGCCTAAAGCTGACTCAGGTACACAGGCTCATTACTTTCAGCTTCATGCCATGTAAGCCAGGCTAAATTGCTTTCAGGTCTGGGCTGGCCTTAAAGCCAACACAGTCAAGGTCATGTGGTGTCATGCCTGAGAAAGAAAGAAAACAGCCTAGCTAGATAGGCCCCCATATGACAGCACACCAGCAAGTACCTGCAAAAACCAGCCCCATTCCGTACCTGAGCTGACCATGAATAATGCAACTTGGCTACATTCCCCCAAATCCTTACTCTTCTATAGAAAGTCTTGAGTTCATCTGATTAAAACATAAGTTCTAGGGAAGAACAATAAGGATTGATACCTGGAAACACCTCTGTGGAGTCTGACACCATCACAACCTTTACTGCATTTCTCCTGACAGAATCTGAGGTAACAGAAGAACTAGGATGGTGAGGTGCTGGAACACGTTGACCAAATAAGTAGTAAATGCTCCACAGAATTCATAGAATAATTAGGGTTGGAAAGAACCTTAAGATCATCCAGTTCCAACCCCCCTGCCATGGGCAGGGACACCTCACACTAAACCATATCACCCAGGGCTCTGTCCAACCTGGCCTTGAACACTGCCAGGGATGGAGTATTCACAACTTCCCTGGGCAACCCATTCCAGTACCTCACCACCTGTGCAGTGAAGAACTTCTTCCTTATATCCAATCTAAACTTCTCCTGTTTAAGTTTTAACCCGTTGCCCCTTGTCCTGTCACTACAGTAACATTTGTACTGTACACTGCATCCCTAGCAGTGTTCCAGGCCAGGTTGGAGACAGCCTTGGGTGACATGGTCTATGGTTGCCATCCAATCCCATGGCAGGGGGGTTGGAACTGGATGATCTTAAGGTCCTTTCCAACCCTGACCATTTCACGACTCTATGATTTGCTGTGCACTGAGGGGCCTTAAAGCACACAGCACTAGTTTTGGATTTCTGGCCAGATCCTCTTGGAAACAAGAGTTTGTTACTAAAGTCTTTTTAATATCCTGACCCTAAGTATCATATACAAAGTCACTAAGGGAGCATATGGCAAGCCTGAACACTGACCTATGTACTGCATGTCAGAGAGGCAGTCAATCTGTTGGTCAAGCCAAACAGCAAAATGCCAGCACCATTAGTAATTTTACTGGCAAATAGCTCATTAGCTATGGTACAGTTTAAGGAGAAGTATTACTTAGACTGTTATTATCAATATGTACATATTGATGTATATTTATTTGCCAATATAAATGACACATGATGAAATACACATGTGAATCATACATGGTTTTAAAATGTTAATGACTTGAGATTCTTGACTGTTCTAGGCACAAGTCATATTAAATGCATACGCAGGTCACTCTACTCGGCTGGTGCACAATTCTAAGCTTGTAATTATGTCCTCCACCAAGAGAAAGATCTAAAAAGATCCATTTAAGTTGTCCAAGCACCCTACGTAAAGCTTGAAAAGAAAGAAAAAGTAAGATTACTCAAGAATTTAATAGGATTCTGCACATTTAAAATGAGGAGTCAGAGAAAACTTCTTCCAGTTTCTCCCATAAACACAAAAAGAAATTAAGGAAGGGCATTTTTCCTCCCTTCAGCTTATTCTGTCTTCATTTTAAGTTACATGATAGGTGTTAATTATAAATACAGCTTTAACTAGGTGCCTTTCACAAAAAATCAAAATGGCAAATGGTGAATGTAAGCATGGCCTTTCTGCATTCACAGTAAATCCCCCCCTCCGGCCTTTTTCCATAATGACTGTTGAGACAGTAAGTTTGCTCTAAATGCCTGTCTTCAAACTTCACGAAATTCCTGGCTCGGGAATATCACATCTGCTCACATGAGGAGATGAGCAGTTTGATTGTAAAAGACTGAATAATCTCAGAGTGAATATAAATATCAGCTGTATTTAAAGCTCTCAGAGTTTCAATTATGATGACACTCCCCCCTTTAAACCCCCAAACAAGCAAGAAAAACCCAAATCAAAGGAAATTATAAGGAAGTTCTAATCCAATGTTTCACTGTCACTGTAAAATCTAACTTTGTTTCCTATACTGGACTCCGATATAGTTTTTATTATTTCCTCTTTGTCCCCACTAAGCACATTTGAGTAGCAGGGATTTTGTCACCACGATTATTTTTGCTGCCAAAACTTCCTGGCACAAAAATCACAGAGACAGAGTAATGCTGTTCTAAGGCTTGCAACAGCTGCTGTGCTGAAAAGCTATTTTTATTTTAATAAGGAGCTATACTGTACACTTGTGCACATTCAACTTTTAAGAAAATTCTGTTCTAGAGATACAAATATCTCTAGGGCAGAAGTAAGATACCTGGAAAATGTGGCAGGTAGACAAGGAATTCTGCATGATACCTTCTTTGTATGAACTTTATAAAGGCTATTTAGAACCTGCTTCTGCTTTGCAATGTATACAGCGCAGTCCAGATTTCATGAAGTGGGAAAAGAATGAGAATGAACTTGGGCAAAAGACAGAATGACTTAACCCAAGACAGCCATACCATATACAAAGAATAACCATTCTCTTTATGCATAGAATGGTGCAGAATTTGTGTGAAATTCATAGAAGTACTTACAGCCTGAAGGAACCGGAAAGACAGGATACTGTCAGTTCCCCCCCATGAGTGTCTGTCTTCGTAATTTCCCTCCTCCAGCAAGTACTGATGGCCTTTGTAACGCTCCTTATCATAGGCAACCCATCTACAGCAAACCACACAACAGAAGAAAGAGAAATAACTAAAAGGAAAAACAACTGCACACATGATTTTCTGTAACAAAAGGGGAAGAGAACATCCTGAGAACACTGAAATGGGTATCACAGACTCAGCAAACAAAGCAATGCTTGTTTGAAATCACAACAGCACCCATGTTCATCGTGGATCAAAATCCCACCATGTGATTCTTTCTCCTACAACAGTTTATTTGTGCAATGCTTCTCCATGTATCTCCTCTTGGTCAGCCCAGTATTCGCTGCACAGAGGCTGGCCAAAACACCGTAAGCCACCAAATATTAATGATAAAAAACAAACAGATCCCTTCAGTGTATTAATAAATGGTGAGATTCTACCCTTGCTGGAGCTGGCAACAGAATTAATGGTTTCAAAAGAAAAAAATGTCATGTGCTAATATTGTTTCTCATTCTAATCTAAACATATATATATGAATAGAAAAGTGAACTGAATATATACAATATATTGTGTATGGAATATGTTTTAGCACTGAGGGAACAAAAGTTTATAAAGTATTTTGAAGAAGCAGATAAGGCTCAATGAAAAGAAGATATTTCCATATCACCTTTGAAAACTCTATTTTGAAAAAGTGGTCCCCCCTCTTTTCTTTCTTGTAAGCATTTCTTTCATTAAAGTTCCCTTGTAAGTATTAGAAGTGCTGTACAAATTCTGTTGGCACTGGAATCTGGCAGGCAGGGATTGCTTTACTTTTAGTACCATTTGGTTTACATTAATTCAGCTGTTTAAGTTACCGCAGTATTGAAAATAAAAGCTGCCACAACAGAGAGAAGGATGAGTTTTAATAATCTGAGGCTTCCCAGATAGCAAATACCTCATGTATTTATGAACACATTATCTGAACATCCATAGTTAAACTTAGTTTGAATTTGGTGCTTGTAAGATTCTGACAACAGCCTGAAAGGATGTATGTTATCCAATCCTTACACTGAAATCCCCGAAGTAAAAAGAATCTGAAAACTATTCTGTTGCTAAGTTGTTTGGGAGGAGCAAGCATCCTGAACACTTTAAGGAGTCCTACCCTTCTGAGTGTCAGGAAAGGCTGAAAGAATAATGTGTGGGGTTGGTAGCTTGCTAGAAGAGCTGGCAATAATTGGCTCTGAGCCTACCTTGTGATCAAATGGCATTGCACAGCCCTTTTTGTGTGTGTGTGTGTGTGTGTTGCAGGGCAACAGACAATCATTCTGAGGCTTCAACGGAGGAAAATAAGGGTAGATTCTTAATTCCAGACAACACACAACAGGTGGCAAAGGAAAACCATTAAGACAATAAAACAGTTTATAGACTTCAGAGGCATTAAAATGTCAAACTGAAGAGTGACTACACCTACCCAAGATCCTTTTGGCAGATTAAGTACAGACTATCAGAAGTATAAAGCAATATAAATTAAAGGTCTGTGGGAATACTGTCATTAAGGAACAAAGTGGCCTAATTTATCAGCATCCAAGTAGTAAACACTGACTTCACACCTCACACAGGTAGTTTTATCTTCCTATATTCCCTTTGATAGATAAACCATATCTATATCTGTAGGCTTTGTGGCTCTCTGAACTAACCCCACCTGAACGGCATCTTGGTGCTCAGGCTGAGGTCCCCGGCACTACAGGTGGCCAATGAGAAAGGTGTCCAAAGACCAGTACTGGTGTAGTGTCATACTACCCTATGCATAAAATTTGCAGCCCTAATGTCTCTGGACCTATAGGCTTTGTGGCTCTCTGAACCCTAACCCTAATCTTGATGATACCGTAATACTGAGGCTGTGGAGAAGCGGTTTTATCCAAGGTTGATAAACAACAAAAATATATTCTTTTAGAAATATTTTACTAGTGATTTTAATCATCACTTTGCACTTCTTGGCATTTAGTTATGATTTCCCATTTGAAAGTAAGCCAATATAAAAGTGAAATATACTTACACTCCGCCAATTACACGTATTGATCCAATTTCCTTAAATCCCTCTTCATTACCAAACAGAGCTGGGACAGAACTGATGTTTTCTGAAAACTCTTTGGACCTTCCTCCAAAGTGGGTTTTCTCATATATTATTATCTAGAAAACATGATATCGACAATGCCTTGAGTATGCCCTGAACAGTTCAGGTGTGTGCACTGATACAGGGTGTGGAAGACATCTTTTTCCACCACTTCCAACAAGCCATCACTATGAACAAAATTCAGGGTTGCATTCCTCAGCCCTTCTGATTCTTGAGTGCCCTAGAAGCTGAAGAGACACTATCTGGATTTAGATAGGCCTGTCAGGCTATCTGCAGACTTTTCCACAGAAGGATACTTATCCACACAATTCTACATACATAAACATACTCTGCAGTTATACGGCTGTAATTTATCCTGTAATCCTGTGCCTGGACAGTGTTTATTAGCCTTCAGTGAATCCTACATGGTCACAGCTAGACATTCAGAGCTTAATCCTTCACAAGCAGACAAGAGCTCTTTCTCTGTACTTTGCTGAAATTATTTCGGTGACTGCAGTTAACACCTTCTTAAGGTTGCTCATCTGCTGAACACACATATCAAGTATTAACAGTATTAATATTTATTGCAATATTTATTAGAAAAACGCCTCTGTCTGGCATGTATTTGTATCATTAAAAGTTACCTAAAGCATTAGTATTCTTGTGCAGACTAAAAAAAAGAAGGGTTCATTAGTGACTGATGTATCAAGTCAGGAAAATTCACCATATTTTGTGTAAGTTTTACAATTCTTCAGGAAATTCACATTCTATTTTGTGAAAACCAGACTATTGCTACTTTTGCAACTCATGAAACACTAGTAAGAAAGCCGGCTTGACACAGCATCTGTGATTTTTTTCTTCAGCAGCAAACACTGAATACTTAAAAACAAACATCATATACCCAACAAAAAGAAAACAGCTTAAATAAAGGTTTTGTATTTCCAGTGTGCTCCCATTTTATCACCATCTTCAGTGCTTACCTTGACATTCATTGGCATTTGTACCTTTAGCCCACCCTAAAAAAGAGACGGTGGAAAGGGGAAATAAATGCATTTATATAAAACTTGAAATTATGCTTGGACATGTATTTTATAGCACTTATAGTATTTTCACAGCACAAAGTCTTTGTAATTATACTCACCACTTTCAGTGTTGGCTAAATGAAACACTAGCTCAAATGCACTGGTAATTCATAAAGGTTAGGGACACTACAAACCTGTCCTGAAAACAAATCAGTGCATTGACAAGCCTGCAGCGGTGCAAGCAACTTAAAAATATTCCTTTGCTGTCCTAGCAATCTAAAGCAAGTACTTACTGTTTTAAACTAATTCATATTGACCAAATTTTTAAATTAAAATCTAAAGCTTTGTTGTATATGTTTCAATTTCTTAAGAACAGATGGTAGAATACTAAGAAACTATAAACACCAGAAGAGAGGGAAAATATAGGCAGACATATTCATTTCTTGGTCAAAGAGCAAATGTATTAAATGGATTTCCTCTAGAAATGTTAGTGAATGATGTTCTGTGAGGGAACAAGACACCTACCTCCTATGACTGACTAAAGAGACAGCTGTTCAGTCTTACGCCTTTGTAGCTTTTAAATTCTCTTTCTGTAGGCTTGCTATGTATACAATAGAATTGTTATACCCTTCCACACCTCTCATATTTTATTATCCCTCTCAGTTCTGTATTATTTGATTTCCACTCATCAAGAGCTGTTTCCCAGGAATACAGCCTAGTTAATCAGTCATTCCCTCTGACTACATGGTTTTACTTGGGCAGACACAGAAGCCCAGCAAGCCATAGCGACTGCTGTGCCATGAGACAAGTGTTACATGTATAAGGATTAACCCTGAAAGGACATCAGAACCCAAGATGTATTTCGGTCAAAACCTTCAGGGGAGCAACTATAGGAAAAGGAAGGCACACAACTTATTAGGAATCGTGCACTCCTCACCATTTTTAAGGGACGCAGAGATTTTACATCTGCTGAAGGAATTTCAGATGGTGAATCACATTCTTCCAAGACCTTCATCTCTCCCTTGTAATTAAAGTCTGAATAAGCAAGCCATCTGCAACAATAAGGACAAAGGATTTATTAATCTCATTAGATAAATTACAAATACAAAGATCTTATTAAAATAAGTTTCCTTTTTGTACTCATAAGAGCTAGATAATGTGTTCCAGATACTGCCATCACATCAAAACCAAGCTATATTTAAACACATTGGCAACATCAATGCTAAGAAGATCTCAAATACTTTTTCTCACTCCAAGCTAAACATAAATGAAAGAGAAGAAAATAACCAATTTGTTCACCTACTTTAAGAAGCCAGTTTGGTACAGCGTGAGTATACAAAACCAATGTCAGTACTAAAGATGAGACGCATCAAATTTTACCAAGGATTGTCACCTTAGGAATTAAAAGGTTTCTAACATCAATCCCACTTATTTTTTCAGTTATTAACATATGAGGATTTACAACACTGCTTTGGAAAGCAGGCTATTGTAATTTTGACATTAAGATTTAAAATGCTGAGACTCCTTCAGACTGTTTTAAATCAAAAAGCAAGCTGAATGTAAAAGTTGGGCACATGGTTAAGTCAACCAAATAAGGAAGGGAGGAAAAGGCACTGATCCATACAGAAAATTATTTTCTTAAAACTTAACACACAGCCACAAGCAGTTAAAAGTTATACTAAATTCTACTGAAACTAAGAATGTTTTTAGTTTCTTCACCACCTAAGCTTCACAAGAATTGTGAGGCTGTAGAAAGGAAGGCTTGTCTCATGAAAAGCAAACTCAACACTCTCGTAACAGATAATGTCATTCTGAAACCATTTATGAGAAGAGGCACAGAACTCCCAAACTTCAGGAACTGTGAAGTGTTGGCCATTTACCCGGGAAACATTATTCTGCTCAATACAGGAAATGCTGGGTTGCCAAGGGGCCTGTATCATACTGCATCACCTCTCTCCAGAAAGTCAGGATATGGCTGTAGCTTGAGAAATGCTTACATGATGTAGTATTAATTTTCTCTATTCAGCCATAGTGTTATAGCTATAACAGGGTGAGTGACTAGGGAAACAGTATCTATTCACCAATGAACTAAAAGCTAATTATAGCTGAGCTGCTTCTTCTATTTATAAAGCCACTCAAAGATGGAATTACAGAAAACTGCCAGCAACTAGAGTAAAAATGCTTTCAAAAATTTGGTTCCACTCCTAGGAGCCCACACAGCACAATACTGAAGCATAGAGCTGAGAATATATAGCATATGTTAACCGATTTGTAGCAAAATCCCCCAAATACTGTTTGTATCACCAACTGACTTTCATCCCATGATGTTGCTCTTCTACCTGCTGCCAAAATGCTACTAAAAATGTCCAGTACTCACACTCCTGATTTGACTTTTATATAAGGGTTTTTCTCAACATCCAGTTCTTCTAAATTGGCAACTGCACCCTGTATGCAGATAGGAAGTCCCTCTGTACAACCAGCTGCCAGGCAGAACTCAACCTCTGGAACACCACAGTCCTGTGGAAAGAAATCAAAGGGTAAGTCTTATCCGCACTTACAGAGCCTGCCCCATTGCAAGGGGAGAATAACCAGTAATGTTTCCTTCTTTTTTCCCATTTTCTCACCCTTCTAATTTAACTCTAGGCTTCACATATGTACAGGTTTTGGTTTTCTTTTAAGTGAAGACTTGGAACTTTTAGAAAAGCTAAGGGAAGCAAATTTGCAACTCCCATTAACTTTCAAAGAACTGTGCATTTATGCCTGCTGGGCTACTGTCAAAAAGCTCAGTTTAAACACTCTCCAAGTAAAGGATCTGACAATATTCAATGACAGATGAACCATGCATATAATATACCAAGTTTTTTAAAGACAGTGTTTCCATAGTACACATACCACATGCACGTAGAACTAAAACTTCCTAGAAATGCCTACTACGTTCTCACCTCCCTCCCTCAGTGCTAATTAAGTTTTGCATGCATCCAACTATGGTTTCAAGCCATATGAGTTCTATTTTTTGTCATGCTAAATAAATCTACAGGATTTTAGACAACGAAAGAAAAAGATCAGTAACAGCAAATGTTTGTTTTGTTAAGTAGACACTTTAGCAATTTTCCTGTTACTATGGAGCAACCTCTGTTATCTTAGCAAGGGTTTTCTGACAGATACCATGTTAGAGAACAACTTGTTGAATACATGATTTTCTCTAGAATTTGCAGGACTTTTATTGAATCAAGCTGATTTCATAAAATTTATATAAAATGCATTACCAGCACTTCATTCAAACACATCATGAATCAATGAGGACTTTCTATACAGTCCTGCTTCAGCAGTGTGTTACAGAAAAGTCCTCCTGTTACAGTGAAAGGCAGCTCATGTGCTTATAGTTTGCTCAGCAGTAGCTGGGGCACTTGAGATCTCAGTGATAACTACAAAGCACCATTCCCCTTACCCTTCCAACACACAGGCCCGTTTGCGTTAAGCCAAAGGGCTTGGACAACATGAGAGACCTGCTAAATGTGTCTTGAGAAAGATGCCCCTCGTATGTGCATTAGAAAAGAGGGATAAGAAGCTATCCCTGAGGGTGCACTCAGAGAAACACGTGGTTACTGAACCTGTTGAGGACCCAGGCACAGCCCACGACTGAGATCTTACATGGCCTGTGGCTTCTTCCAGACCCTGAAGGGCAGAACACAAGAGTTTGCAGAGAAACCCAACAACAGGGCACAAAAGCTCTTACAGTTAGAGCACCTCACCTCATGACGCCACCCTCACGATCTCCTTTTTTACATAGGTATTGGGTGGAGCTTTCAAATGATGGAGTAACATCCCACCTAGAAATACACTTCTTCCTGCTTAGCAAAGTTCTCTCAGTAATTATTTAACTGCCAGCAATAAATATGGCAATTATAATAGATGAACTTCAGGGTATTACTTCACTTTCCATGAGACCTGCAGTAACACAGTATATTGTTTTGGCAACCCTCCCTTATGCACAATTGTGTTTCCTCTGTATTGTACCTTGCAAACAATGCACATCATTTGTTTTTAGAACAAAAAACTGCAATACCAGATTCAGATGAGCAAACCCAGAAAAACTAGGAAAAAGACTTTCTAGTATAATGCTATTTTATGCAAAGTGCTAAGGAACAACATTCCTCAATTCTAAGTATAATGCTAGACCAGTTTAAGAGAAAATCTCTTCATAGTTTTCACATATTTAACTGTGATTTAATAAGCTACAAAGCCATGAAGTTTGTGTTTTTTTCTAATAATACCTGATATGTAGTATGGCTGAAACCCATGAATCCAAAATAAAGCTTGATACAGAAAACTAAGTTGCACGTATAAGAATTCCACAAGTTATGACTCTAGACTTAATGGTTTCAGATAAATGCTGAAGCAAAGTACCTACAAGCCTAGGCAAGTAGCAAAATAAAGTATCTTTGCCTGTGGGCTCAGACAGAATATGAGACAGAGGAAGTTTAATTTTAATTCAGTAGGAGGTTGGATAGATTTCTTTTGTTTTGGTTGGTTTGTGGGTTGGGTTTTTCCCCCCTCATTTGAAGTCTGAAGAAAAGCCAGTCTGTGTTCTCCGTTTCAAGTCTGCCCTCCTGACTTGGAAGCTCATGAGGCAGGCTCCACCTCAAGAGATGAGGAATGTAGCAGTTTTCCAAAGGGTAGGTAAAGCACAGGCACTTGTATTAAGATCTCCCCTGTTTATCATCATTTCTCTCAAGCCAGATTTTGACAGTCATGAAAAAAAATACTTGTTTTTATGGTATTTTTATGTGCACTAGATTAAGACCACAATGTCTTTTCATGAAGCGCCACACAGTAAGCTGAGGCTGTCACCAAAAGCCATTCAAATGCATATTTTTAAAGGTAATAACATGTTTCAGCATGAAGTACATTAAAAAAAAGTGCTTAGAAAATATAAAGTCACAAATATACATTTTGACTTAAATACTGAATTCAATTTACATATGTTAATTCACAGACTGCAGAAAAAGGTAAAATTTAGGATTTTCTGTATGAGGTGAACACTATGCATCTGCAGATGTACACTTAAGTACTATGCCATTAATTTATATAATTTAAGCATGTGAGCTTTAGCTTGGTAAATATTTTCCCTAACATGTTCATATTTGTCTGAACATATTTAATAGGCATCATTACTTCCAGAGGCTTCTTTAACTCTCCCAATAAAGCCACCATCTTCAGAAACCAAATGACAACCATACAAATATGATAGTGCTCAGGCTGAGAAGAAGAGCCTTCAGTCTGAAGCCCTTTCATTTGCAAGGCGTCAAGATTTTGACGTAAGATACTCAGATGCAAAACTATTACCACAGTGTTTCAGGTCAGATCCCAAACTGGAACGTTTTCTCCCTATAAATGCCCTGGCCCTGCCACCCCCATCACATGCAGTCAAAACTCATATCATATTCATTATCCTACTGACATGTCAAGCAAAAACATAAAATAAAAAGCATAGCAAACAGATTAGCTATCTATGTTCATTTCCAATGCTAATACAAAACCAGCAGATGCTCAGGTAGGTCGCAGCCTCCAGGCACCACACTCTGTCTTCCTTCACTCTGTGGTACTCTCCTCCTACCTCCCACAGAGTCATCAGCAGTGCCTGTGCTTCCTTCATGGTCTTTTGGGAGCAGAGATGCTTACAAAAGCATAGGGAATACTCATGCTAGCCCATAGAGAACAGACACTTGCAAAACAGTAACACAGCAACCAGCAGAAAAGTTAAGGCTTCCTTGGAAGAGGGTTAAGATGACCCTCAAGACCTTAGTGTGAAATATTACTCTTTGGTGGCATGACATTCTTCTAGTGTGACCAAGAGCTTCATCAGAAGTAACAGACCTAAAGCCTTCAGCCCTCTCAAGGTGGTCTTGGCTGTTTATCCTTCTTCTGGATCTAGGGTCATAGCCGTAACAGACTAGCAGCGCTAGATAATTTCATCACTGTTAGGTCTTTTCCTTGGACATTAAATCTGTTGTGACAGAAATGATCAAAATAGCCTGTTTACGTGAGGCAGCCTTTTATGTCAACACCAGGACAAAGAATGACTGCAGTATGGTTGCTTAAGCTGAATATGAAAACAATGATGACAGAAGAGTCTATTAAAAAACAGGCCTAATTACTGCTGGTATCCACACAATTGCTTTTTAATACAGTCTAGACATGCATCTTACTTTTGATACACAGCTTGTGTCTGTGATACATCAGCTTCTGCAGCATTTCTTTATTTTAAATCTTACTCTATTGGTCCTCCAGCCTTTTTTACTCACTCATAATTCTGTCTCCCAGTGCTCCTACTCTGTACCACTCTTGCTACCACCCATCACCACCAAACCAAACCACAAAACACCACAGGACTGGTAGTAAAAGAAAATAATATTAATGAAATCAATTATTACTGTCTTATAAATACCAACTAGCAAATGATACAATATGAAGCTGCTGGGTGTCTTCCTATTGCATCTAACAAAGTAGTCCCTGCTTGAATTAATAACCTTTCACCTAGCAAACCACACAAATGAAACATGCCCTTTATGTAACACTGTGAACACTGCCATTACAAAAGAACTTTGATTAAGGAGAGTCCAACAGGAATCCAGTTATTCCCTGCCTAATTATCTTGCAGACAGCAATTATAAACTGCTGTTTCAGATCTCTTGTCACCTTCCAAAATAGTGGTTTACAAGATTACTCCAGAATGGGAACGTCAGCAACTCTTCTCAGCCCTTGTTTCCAGGAAAGTAACATTAAGCACTCTTTTTGGTCTTCTAGAATCAGGTAGAGAAAGCCATCCATTTCCATAAGACCAATATATGCATTTGCAATAGACCAGAGAACTGACCTGGCTAAACAGACTGTGCTGCAGGAGCTGCACTTGAATCTGTATGTGCAGGCAGATTTCGCTAGCCTAGACTCATGTTGACTTGCCTTAGTAGAGGTTCAGACCTTACTTCAAATAGGTCTTCGCTTTACTAGTTGCACAGTCTGTTCCTTTGGGATCTCCCCCTCTACTTCTCCCAATTCCTTCAAATTAAATACACATGCATACATCTAATGCATATCCACAGTAAGTCAAGCCACAAGCTAACCGCAAAGCTAACAGAATCTTTGCTTTCTGTGGAGGCTTGAAGCCAAATCAGAGCATAAAGCTACTGGCAGACTGTTTCTCAGCTCACTAGCATCCACCAGTAAAAAGTAAAACTAATATTAAATGTACCTCCTACAGTTTCTTTAGTAAACATCTGGGTTTCTCTTCCGGGCAAGCCATTTTCTTCTCAAATACTTAGCCAATTTGCAAATCTGCTAATTCAAGGCATCTGAGCAGCCATTAAACAAGCACCATAAAAAGCCACTTAAGAATTAGAAGACAAGTCAGGCAGCATGGACACACAGACAATATGACCCTAGTAGGCAGGGGGAAAAAAAGCCACTGAGCTACTCACCCTATGAAAAAGGGAATGATGTAAAACACGCGATGCTGCACATTGCAAACACATGAGCTGCCTGCAAAATTCACAGCTATTTGTCAGTTAAAAACAATGCCTATATTTCCCACAAAAAATAGGTACTTTGGCAAAGTGCCTTCTAAAAGCGGCTCCATAGCAGCTACTAAAGTACAAGCTAAAAAAAGAGGGATGTTTTCACAAATCAAGGTTTACAGGACAAAACCCAGCTTAGTGACTTCCATACCCACATTAGCTCCACACAGCCCTATGGTCTAACAGTAAAGTCTTCCCAACCAACCATACCCGATAGAGGTTTAAGTTACGTGAGAAACAGTGTTGGTTACTGAACTAGTGTAATGTAACAAAGCTCTCCATCTGTGTTCCATACAAATGAACCCCATACTGGAAGAAAAACAATGCTCAAACCTACTCAAGCTGTATTACAAAGGCTTTTAGCAAGCATAACAAAGCTCACCAGTGTCTTTTCTACGCAAGAGTTTTCTTTGATACCCAAGACACACCCAGTTTCCCTTGGCTTCAGACCATAGTTCCACATGTTATTGTGGCATTTCTTTAATTATTTAGCTGCCTTCCACATTAGTGATCAATACTCAGATTCCATACTGTTCAAATGCTTTTAATCTGTTTAGCTCAAATAAATGTTAAGTTTATTACTGATGCCTTCAGTCACCTTCTTTTGAATTTATATAAGAGAACGAAAAAGCATTTCTGACTGCTTGACATTATGCCCCGTACTGACGACAAAAAGGCTATCTCCATTTTAAAATGACCTCTATACCAGCAGACACTTTTTCTGAAAAACTCTTCACACTGTGATATAAATGACAATTCACTTGCAGTAAAGGACCATTACCCTGTGAATAACTGGAATGTTATGCTATACAAGAGCGCTAAGTCTTCTTAAATCACAAGATCTGGTAAATATATTCCTCATTCACTGAATAACAATGGATGCATTATAGTTAGTTTCAGGCATTTGATTCCCATCTTTTCAACAAAGTGCTTTTTAAACTTCTGGCTGTACTCAGAGCCAGATGCTGTAGGTGTACCACTTGTCCACACATACACCCTACCGATGGCACAAAGTTGTAGAGGGAGCGACAGTAATTCTGCGAGGCTACACTGTACAAATGGGATTAGAAACTCAACTACTAACTTCTGAAACAGAAGCCAAACACTTCACTGAGAAACAAAACAAAAATGAATTGATTCCATTTAAATTAATTTAACTGGACAGGTAAATATCTAAGAGTGTGTCAGGTAAAGGTGGTGGCAAATAAAGATGATCCATCTGCTCATTATCTTCAGAAAGAAAGGGAAATTTAGCATACCAAAATCCCTAGAATTTCTCTTGAAAGTGAAAGAACTGATTCATAACAAATTTCATTAAGATCAGAAACACAGCATGTACACATTGTCCATTCCTAGTAGCATACCAGCATGGCCAACAGAAATTATTTATGTATGCAAGTATGTTATTAATGAAGTCTATACCTTTGTTACATGCTTGATCGAACCAACTGTGAGGTTTCTTCGATGATGTTTCACACCTGGGAGATCCCAAAGGTGATCCAGCACAGCTTCTCCTTCTTCTAGTACATACTTCCGACCCTGGAACTTTGGTTTCTCATAAAAAATCCAACTGTAATAATGATATCATGAACTGAGTTGTTGCAGTTAGGTAAGACTGTTCTTACACAGCACATGTGTTGTGCTGTTCAGTAATGAGCTCTTCTTATCAAGCCAACTATCACACCTTTCTTATCCTGTACCTCAGTAGTCACATTCAATTTAGATAAATATGGGGCTTGTACTTCCGTGCTTCCAAAGTAAAATACACACTTCTCCTCCAGGATGTAGCCTAACCCAACTTAAAACATTAACTGGATAAGAAAAAAAGCTAAACCACGATGTAAATAGAAAGCCTTACTTTACCAGAACAAAAATATTAATTGACACATCAAAACATGTCCTGTTCAGGCAGATACTATGCAAGGCATAAAACATTTACATACAATAATGGCATTCAGTATTTCTTAGGACATGAAATAAAAAAATGTATGCAAAGCCAAACAAGGCTGCTTCAAAACTATGTAAATGGGACATGCATTGTTACTATGGCTTATTATCAAAACATTCACTGTAAACCTCACCAGTTAAATTCCAATGCAACGGACATGGTCCCAGACCCAGCTTCCCAAAGCAAACCACGACACACTTGCAAAATCTACCTTAAAAGTACTTGTATATCCTTCCGCATCCACATTCCTCTAAACACTACATTACAAACAGCAGCTGAGATTGTTCATTTTATGGTTCTTTCGCAACAGCTACTGTATAATGGAACTGAACTGTAAAAGAAACATTTTCTTTGGCATACACATGCTTCTAGCGATGATTATGGCTGTACTGTCTTAGCACTTCAGGCAGGAAGTCTAAACTTACTTGTGGTTCTATTAGCAACTTTCTGTTTGAAGCTAGTTCCCAGGAGAAACAATTTACTTTTTTTTGTACTGCAGCATTTGAAGCCTTGTTTCATGCTTTTTTTCACTGGTATCAGTCTAATTATAAAGAAAGAAAAAGACACTCTTGCAGATCAGACGTGTGTCATAAATAAATGAAAATATAAGAGAAACATATACAGTCTTCCGGAAACTAAATATGACCTAGATTTCTTACCATCCTCTAATTATCCTAAGTAATGCTCCAATGGGAAAGATCCAGGACGTGGTATCTAGCACATCAGAATGAACTTCTTGTTTACTTTTGTCGCCATAAATATCATAAATAATAATCTGAAACAACATACAATGCATACAAATGAGGGCCCATTGCAACATGCAGTGTAGACAGTTATTTTCTGCATGGAATAAAACCTATTCAACTTTTTGCCCAAGTATATGCACCATTAAAAACCAGAAAACGTGTGACAAATTACTCCATGTATCATATTGATCTATGTGACACAAGTTTTGCTTACTTACCTTTCCTGGTCTTGGATTATATTTCAGACTTGCCCTATCAACGAGGTTCTGAAATTAAAAGGACACGGAAAACAAATATAAACATCTACAACAGTAGCACAAAGCATATACAGATTATTCTGAGTTCACTATTTCTATCAACATATGCAACTGTAGAAACAGTTGCAGAAACATCAGAGCAGAAACAACAGGGGTTTGTTTCACTGTCGTTCAGAGTTGATGTGAAAGAATCAAACAATACACAGAAAGTTTAAGTGCTATTAAGGAAGAACTATTGTAAAAGTTATAACTTCTGGAAACCCATTACCATTTCTCAGCAAACAAACTTCGTATCTTAACAGTGGCAAAACCAAAAGAGACCTCTAACACAGGCTGAAATATTCTCAACATCATGGAAAGACTTTCTTCAGTTACGCAATTTGTCTACGTGGCATTTTCAATTTCTAAATATTGAAAGAACTGTTTCCATACCCTCATTTGCCATTGCTTTAAATAAGCTATAAATACCTAACTAAATAAAAATGCTCATCTTCGGAAGCAGCTACATTTCTTACTTGCTAACTGAGCTACAATTTGTAGAAGACCATGATAGAACAATCACATAGCTCAGTAAGCAGATATTTATTTGGTTTTTTGGACAATACAGCTCCACTAATCTCAGAAGTAGAGCAAAATAACACTGTTCGTTCAAAATTCCATCTTCTTCAGGTTGAAATGTTCTTACCATGGACAAGTCCGTGTTTTACTATTATGCAGACTTGCTTTTACGCGTATTTTCCTGTTGCATATTTTGTTCAGATATTCTGTTTTAAAATTAAGTCACATTCGTCTATCTGCTAAACCAAGAATAATAAGTTTAAAAAATTATTTTATCAAAAGACTTAAAAAAAAACAAACCCAAAACAAAACCCAAAACAACCTCTGATCTTAAACAGCTTAATTACTTCTGTTTATGGTAAAAGAATTAGCTTTAAAAAGGGAGTAAGCAGAACAGGGAGAGAGCAATTTGGAATCAGGGCCAATCGCTTTGATTATTAATAGTAGGTGACACAACATCTTACCGCTGACAATTCTCCCAATTTTGGCATGGTGTTGTCTTGAGACCAGTGAATCTTTGGCAGAAACATATCCTGGAGAAGGCTTCCAAACCTGGTTCCCTTCTCAGAGGAGCAACTGCTGGCAGATTTCAAGTACTGGTAGTACACACTTGGAGGAGGAAGCTCTAGAGCAGCATCAGCTTTCTGCGAAACTGGCTTACAAGGTGTTTGACTGGGAGAAGCTGCATCTGGAAACAGTTCTGGCTGCTCTTTAGAGTCAAGCTCTTTTGAGAGAAAAAGTGATTGTTCAGAAAACAAAGCTCCATTTTGGTCATTTGATTGAAGGGTTGGTTTTAAATTTCTCCTCCACTGACTGGAAAAACAGTCGTCTTCTCTCTCAACATTAACTGCATTTTCTTCATATGATGATTCATCCTCCTCCTCATCCTCCACTCCTTCCTCCTCCTCCTCTTTACTGAACTGAGAAGTAAACTGTAAGCGCTCAGAAACTGACTGGAGAAGAGAAAGCACAGAAGCATGGTCAGAGTTATCTTTAGATATTCCACTAGGGTGGCCTTCTGGTGACACATCTGTGGAAAGTAAATCTTCTTGAGAGCTGTCGTCTTCATATATTGGAGACAAAGAGAAAGGATATACTCTATAGCGCCTGGCCTCCACACTCAGAAATGACTCTGAGCTACGGCTATCTGTTGCTTCATTCAGCTTGTTATCCTTCCCATAAAGGCACGTTGGCTCATGCTTATTCTTTGCTCTTTCACACATTAAATGACCTATACTATCTGAATGCAAATCAGAAGAAGAAAGCAAACAAGTTTGCATGTCATCAGTTGAGACAGATTTGTTCTCAGTTTGAAGAGCACCTTCATAAATGATAGTGAAAGAACTGTTTTCCCACTGTTCAATTAGTGGAGAAAAGGCCAAAAGATCTGTGGATTCCTTCGTAACATCGTCAGAATCCAGACCATTTTCTTGAAGCTGATCATTTCTCTTCATGTCTTCATCTTTCATTTGTACCTGCTTCAGATTCCCATTATTTTGGGCAACAGCCGTGCTGAAGCAGTTTTCCTCTTCATCTCCAATTACAGACAATTCAGGTACAATGAACTGCGCATTTAAGCCAGCATTAATCTCTGCTATTTCACTTGCCCCTTCTGCTAGTTCCTCTTTACTGTCCACTGCCTTTAAATCTTCTAAGATTGCTTTTACTTGTGCAGGTACTTCTGCAGCTTCTCTACTGCAGCGTTCATAAAAACTGTCCTCTGCACTTCTTTCCAGAGACCCCCAGGCACTGCTTCTGTCTTTAGATTCACTCTGCACACCGATACATTCTTCATCAGGCATAGAAGATGACAAATTATCATTTATAATTGGCTGCAATGAACACTCAGGCACATCTGTATTACTGCAAGAATCCTTTAACTGCAACGACAAAAGCATCTCTTCAGTCACAGTAGCATCTTTATGTATTAAATGTAAAGATCCATCAGATTTTCTGTTAGTTGCTGATGCTCCAGCTCTGCTACACATCTCTGCTGCAGCCAGATATTCACAGTCCTTTCTACTGTCCCTCTCTTTTACTGGCGTCATAAGATCTGATTCTGGCCTTGCTGAACCTCCAGTGGGTAGAAAACCATTTGCTTGACATGTAAATGCATTATTTGGTATCTTTTCACCTCTTTGGGGCCAGTCTATGCCGTTTGCCATATTATTTGGAAGCAAAGGAGGATCTGAGCAATCTGCCTTTTCACAGTTTACAGTTGCACTCCATGTTCCCTTCTTTTCTGCTAGTTTCTGTGCTTTTGCAGGTAAATGGATATCCAGGTTTAAAATTGTTGGTATTTCAGCCTTAGGTTTAGGCTCGACCTTTTCAGAAGTTTTTTTACTTTCACTGCCTTGCTGCTGACTGGATGCCAATTTCTGTATGGCTGAGTTAATGACTTCATCAACTGTTTCTTTTGCTTTTAGTGTTAGTGCGCTGTGCAGGTCAGTTTTATCAGGGGTATAAGATAGCATCTTTTCATCTTGATGATTTGTTTCATTTCTTGTAACTGAAGCTGAGCCTCCTCTACCGCTCTCATTAAAATGCTTTAATAACTGCACAGTTGACTGGACTTCTTCTGCTTTCAGCTGCACAGTTTCATCTTTCTGATCATGTAGAATATCCATATTTATTGAACTATCTTTGCTCCCACAAAGCTGGCAAATACCAATGGCTTGTTTTGCTATTATTTCTTCTATAGCCAAGTGTAAAACTGAGTCCGTTATTTCCTCAGCTTTTTTAAACAAAACCACAGCATCTTGGAATTTAGCACGTTCTTGTCCCTTTACATCAGTATCTTCCCCTACCTCCTCAGAACACAGCTCATTCAACTCTGTAGGTGCAGCAGCTATTTCGTTATCCCTCACACAAGGGGGTTCTGAGATAGGAGGACAGTAACCAAGTATCACCTGACCTACTGCACTTCTGCACACACTCTCAGTACAGGCTGACTCGGATGCTGTTTCCAAAGACTTTAAAGGCATTGCCCCTGCCAAGACACTTCTGTCTGCCTTTTGCATGCAGGAGGCCTCCTCTACACCATCACTGGTTCTGTGACTGGAAGAATTACTGTTCCCCTCAGCAATACCTAACATTTCCATGGCAAAAACAGAAAGGTTGGAGGCTTCTCTGGATCCCAGAGTAGGTGAAGTGGGGCTGGGGACAGAAACATGCCCCACATCTACTCCTACAGCGGAGCTATCAAGTGTAGCTAGACTAAGCTCAGGTTCCAGGCAACCAGCTGGGCACAAAGCTCTTGGGTCTCCTGAGCAAAGTGCCACCTTGGTCATTCTGTCCTCTGGAATTATTCTCCTAGGCTTAGCAGCTGGAAAAATAAGGCTGTCCTTTTCAGAAGCAGCAGACCATCTAGCAGTCTGGCCATTTTCAGAGCAAGTGTCAGGAGAAGGCATTTTTCCTTGGTTGTCAGATGAAGAATCAAGTACTGTGGGTGACAGCCTAAACTTACTACTGTCTGAAAAATTAATACACCTATCTTCAGAAATGGGTGGAGATTCAGAAACGATGTCTACATCAATGTCACCTTCACAGACAAAAGCAGAATGATTTGTCAAAGGTCTTTCTCCATTTCTCAAGGCAGAATGAGAATCCTCCTGATTTTTTTCTTGCATCTGAGAAATATGAGAGGGAAGTTCAAAGATGTAATCTTTACACTCAGGAGGAACAGGAGCAACCTCAGGCTTACCAGTCTTGTCAACTTCAGAAGCGGCAGCAGCACAATCATGTGTCTTGTCAACAGGGATTAAAGAGCAAGGTGCAGGCTTTGCTGTGTTACCTTCTGTGAGTGTAACTAACGGTTTAGCAGAAGCATCTTGAACACTTTCAAGGGAAACAGGACGATGGTTGTGGACAGGAATAGAGTTTTCAGGGATGCTCATCTCTGTAGGCTCAAAGGATTTGCTCTTCTCAAGTTCAAGATCAGAACAAGAAAGTGTCTCTCTCTCATCTTTCAAACCAACTTCTCTTTTCCCTACAGTTTTATTGTTGAACTTGCAACTCGGATATAGAGGAGCTGAGCGACAGCCTCCAGTTTCAAAGGAAGACTCATAAGTTACAGAGAGAGGTGCTGTCAGATCATCAAAGTTAGATTTCACGCTTTCAAACCCATTTATGCATGATGATACATTGGCAAGGTTTTCTGCTACAACTTCAGGTAAAACCTTCATTGTTTCCTCACCCTCAGTTTCTAGACCAGGTAAAAAGGTCTGCTGAGTGGCAGTATCCTCAGAATTCTCCACACAGGTTAATTGGTGATCGTTTTGTATATGTACCGATTTCTCTAACAGCTCTTCATTACAAGTCCCCTTGTCCATGACAGTATCTTCATCATTTTTAACAGGTGACACAGAAGTAGTTAGGTTACCTGAAGCTACACATTTTTCTCCTTTGGACTTCATGCTAAGCAGAGTAGGTACTTGTTCACTAAAAGGTAAAGGACCTGTAGCAGTAAAGTTGTGTGGACTTTGCTCTCCTACAGCTGCCACAATTTTCTGTGTATCACTATTTTTATTTGCACTACCTGTATGCTGATCCACTCGCTGCTGAAATGTAGTGGTACTGGAATGAAGCCTGTGGACATCCAATGTTAGCTCCGAGTGAAGATCCATTTGATAGTTACAGCAAAATTCTCCCTTATTCACCTGTAGTTCTTCATTAACTGTCTTGCTTTCCGATTTGGGTGAATGCAAACAATCATCCTGCATTTCATTTGTGGCCTCCTTATTAGCTGTTTTACTACAATCATTTTCTTCATCAAAGTTAGAAGAGGCATTTTTGTCTGTCTGAAACACAGCTTCTGCTTCTCGCAGCAGCCCATCCTCTTTGCTCAACAAATCATTTGCAGAACTCGTTTTAAGGGAACTGGTAATCTGGGAAGTGGAACTGGTTAAGATCTCACCGTTTCTACTACTAGATGATAGTAATGAATCTAGTGAATATGTCCTTTTAACATTTGCTGCAGTTAAAGCAGGTGTAGGTTTGAAGTCTATCTCATGAGAAGTTGTGGCTTTTGCAGTTGTTTCATGTTTATTGCTACCCATGCAATGTTGAGCTTTACCAGACTTTTTCCTTCCCATGTTAACTGCAGAAGAATTTACTACAGCATCAACTTCATGACCTTTACCCTCAAGTTCTCCATTTTCTTTTATTAAGTGTTCTGATTTCAGAGACACAGTTGTATGGATTTCCCCATTTTCTCTGACCACTGAAGCACCTGTGTTCTCAATACTTTCTTCTCCTTTTTCAGCTGTTTCTGATTGATTCTTCAGTAGCTGCCTTATCCTTGCAGAACCTCGATACGTTGCGTAAGTGACTGCAGGTGCTTCTGGCTTCCGCTGCATCTGCCTGTAACGAGGACCATCATTATCAGTACAAGAAAGACTAAATAGCCAGCGGGATAATAAAGGTTAACACAACCTGTAGATGATGTACAATACTCTTTTCCTCCATAGGTTAGCACAAACTCTGGACTGCACACCACACTGTTGTCCTTTCCCTGCTCTTCTTAAATACGGACTTGTGTGACAAATGATACATATACGCTACCATTTACTGTGACCCTCCTCTGGACTTGTTCCAACAGATCCATGTCCTTTTTATGTTGAGGACACCAGAACTGCACACAATACTCCAGGTGAGGTCTCACGAGAGCAAAGGGGCAGGATCACCTCCTTCGACCTCCTGGTCACAATCCTTTTGATGCAGCCCAGGATACGGTTGGCTTTCTGGGCTGCAAGTGCACACTGAAGCTGGCTCATGTTCATTTTCTCATTGACGCGCACCCCCAAGTCCTTCTCTGCAGAGCTGCTCTGAATCTCTTCTCTGCCCAGCCTGTAGCTCTGCCTGGGATTGCTCTGACCCAGGTGTAGGACCTTGCACTTGGCATGGTTAAACTTCATGAGGCTGGCATCAGCCCACCTCACAAGCGTGTCAAGGTCCCTCTGGATGGCATTCCTTCCCTCCAGCATATCAACTGAACCACACAGCTTGGTGTCATTGAAATCCACCATGCCCTATGTCTGCTAAGGTGGTGGCTGGAAGCGGCCATTCACCTTTCTGGGAAATTGCCATTCCTGTTTCAGAAGGGTCTCCTTAAAAAAAGAGTTAGCTAAGATTTTGTTTTCTAATATAAAAGCATTGCAACAGATAAAAGATATCTTAATGGCATTTTTAAAAGCTCTTTGCTTGGTTCACATTTACTGAGAAGTCAGTACAGCTCTCGAATTGAGGATACATAATTTAAGTCATAAATAGAACACAAATTCACTAAGGAAAACAGAACAGCAAATTAAATTATTCTGTTTATTTGAGTATCATTGAGTAATTGTAACTTCAAATATTATCTGTATAGATTCAGAGCATGTATTCTCTCAACACATACAGAAGAATATAAAAATTAAGTGGATTTTCCAATCTGAAAGAGAATCTTTTTTTGGATAAGGCTTTAGAGGCCCATATTCTTACTTCAATGTTATTCTGAATAGGGAGTTTAGTATGATTTAAAATCACAAACTCCTTGTTTGTGCAGTATTCGAACATGCAAAGAGCACAAGTGAACTAAAAGGGAATTTATTCATATCCATAAGCACTCAAACAGAGATATGAAGTCATTAATACGCATATTTAGCATTGCTAGGTAGATTCAGGATACTGTCATAATACACAAATATTGGAATTTAGACATTGTGATAACACAAAAATTAAGTTTGTATTGAGGTTAAATTCATTGTAATCTCTGATGAAGGCTTTAGCAGGATCTCAATATAGAGTATATTAGCAAGGTATATTAAGGTATAGAGGAAACAGAAAATCATGCACCAACAGCATGTCTCCCAAGCTATTTCCACCAAACCCAAGACATTATTTTGAATAAATGACTTGAAGACAGTTAACTTTTACTGCATATTTTTCATTTCATGGTTGATATTTTGTCTGAGACGCAGAGGTAAGAATTCAGGATTTATCTATAAACATGTGATGAGAAAGTCTTCAGTTTGTCTCCCATACCCAACTTTGCCTTCGAATTTCTACCATGAACTCAGCAATTCTCAAATCCAAAGCATTCAGAAATGGATTGAATAGGTTAACTTTACAGAAGACTGCCTATACAGGGACGACAAGAAGAAGTCAGAAAGATGGGGTACTGCATCTACGTTGATCAGATCCCAACAAACCATTATACCATTTATTACACGTGGTCATGTAAAACAAACATCCTCAGAATTTTCTTTTTGCCCATGTGGCTCCCTTCATCATTTGTCCCAATTCTTTTTGCTGTCTTCTGAGGGAATTTTATGCTCAAATTGATCACTTTCAAGTCTGAGCACAACTGAAAGCTACCTGCCCTACAGAGCTCTGTGCAGAAACCCAATCCTGACTAGCACTGGCTACAGCACCACTTCAGCTGAAGAACCTCATTCTGTAGCTGGCCTCTGCCACTATCTCCTAACAGACAGCTCTGCTTTCCTGCAGACTTGCTTCTACCAAGAGTTACTCAACAGATGCTACTTTGAAAAGGAACCAATCTTTTCTTCCATAGACATGGCAACTGACGTTTGATACCAAACTTGCTTCTTGCCAACATATCCTTTAGTCCTAATGTATTTACTTTTAGAGCACATAGATGGATGTTCAATTTGAACACAAGATATTTAGTGTGAGGTGTCCCTTCCCATGGCAGGGGGGTTGGAACTGGATGATCTTAAGGTCCTTTCCAACCCTAACTATTCTATGATTCTACGAAAACCCACATTCCTATGCAGCAGCAGCAATTCAGCTGTAAGCCTTATGAAATACATTTAGAAGGAGCCTGTGTCACAAGATCTTTTGAAAGTGTCACTAGAAACTTATTTTATAGACATTTAAAGTAATTCATTTCTGATCATCAAATGAACATGTCAGTTCAGAACCTACCTTAAAAACCCTTTGCAAAGTTTTTTTTCAACTCATGAGGATACAGATGAAAGCCTGATTATACACAGAACCCACTGTGTATTCTGTCACATATTTCAAATACTGGGAGATTCCTTCTTTCCATTCTTCACAAGAAGCTATTCAATTCCCTATGAAGCCTTAATTCAGTTTCACAAAAGATTGTTTGACAGCAACAAGAGAGGATGTCAACATGAGTTACATTAAATTTGTCAAAAGTTGGTGCTTGTAGAGCTTTCTTCTATTTTTAAAGAGAAATAGAAAGTTCAAGAGGGGCTAACTCAAGAAGAGGCAAACATCTTCTGACATGGGATATGGGAGATATCTTTAATGACTTGTCCAAAAAGTGACATTAGTTAGTAATATACACATAACAATCATTATAAAACAATCTTGTTGGTTTTGAAGCCCTGAAGCAGGAGGAAACCTACTACCTTGAATGCCTCATCTCAGTGTGTCCATACAGACTACACTGTAAGCATCTTTTTCAAGTGTATGTCATCAAGACGGTGACCCCTCCAATCTTGGTATCATTTTGTACCATACAATAACGTGGAAAGCAGACATCCCTAGACCTATTTTCAAAAAGATGAAGGAAGATCATACAGCATGGTACAGCACTACATGGGTACAGCATCTCGGATCCCCAGGCCATTTGCACAGCATGGCATCCACACGAGTAAGTCCTTTGGACCAGCATCACTGCTTAGCTCCAAGCTCCCTAACTCAGTTTTACCAGCGCCCAAGACATGCAACAGCTATTTTCCCCTCATACCTCACTTTTCCAGGAGTTTTCTCCCCAGCCCAACAGTGTTCTGCTTTATCAAGCACATGTGTGACCATTTCCTCTCATCCCCCCTCGCTGACCCCTCAGAAGCATCTCCCAGAGAAGACAGATCTGCAGGCTACAGGCTGAAAACCACTGATCTAAATCGGTCCAGCTCTTCTGGTTCCAGTCTATCCCTCCCTGACTATTACAAAATCATGCTATTGTTTAATTTTTTCCACTTGGCTTTTTTTCCTACTGCATACTTAACTGACAACTTTCTTGAATTATTTAAGGTTCTTTGTCTGGAAACAACTGTCTTAAAGCCATTCTGAAAAACCTTCTGATGGATTCCAACTTAGTTGGCCAGATGGTTTCTACACACATTAGATCTTCATAAAAACCTAACTGAAAAGTTGCCATATACAACTTAGAGGAAAGAAAATGATTATGTTTTTAGCCAGAGGGGATAGCTTTGTGATTTAAATCTGAAGTTTGAAATATTTTGTTGTCCTGGGACTTTACAATGTACATTTCAAAAGGTCAAAAGTTTGGTTGAACAAAGTCATTTGCACACAGTTGATTCTGCAGGAAATTTCAAAGCTAATGTTCCATATGCACAATTAAGAGTCAAAGACAATTTTAATAAAAGCAAATGTAGTCTCTGTATGCTTAGAAGGAATGCTTTTCCTTCCTTTTGCCCTTCATGGTACTACTTCTTGATTATCTTCCAAGTCTGGAAAGCAATGTTACCCCTTGAGTCTCAAGGAACAATGCACAGAACAAGGCAGATCCAAAACACCTGTGAGACCATCACCAGCCTGGGATCACCACTGATGCTTCACTGTCATCTTCCCCAATGCCCAGCAGCAGTCAGCCTTTCTGCCCCATAGCTGTGGGAAGTATCCATGCACACCTACCTCGCTCCCCTGCATCCCATGGAGTTCAGCCCTCCAGTCCCTTCCCTTCCATCACACTCAGATATTCAGGCCCTGAAATGCTTGTGATCTGCCTCATAGTGCCTGTGCTGCCTCACACTGACATGCAAGGAGGGTTTATAAGACGCTTCAAATCCCAATGAAAACCAAATCACAGTCACAGGCTGGATGGCACAGCGTTGCCTCGTGAAAGTTGGCCATGTCTTTGGGCATACAGTTGTAACACAGGCTGGAAAGGAGCATGGGATATTGTCAGACTTTTCAATTCTTGGAACTCTTGTTCCAAGCTGTGCCAACCAGATCAGGGTGCTTGCGGTCTTGTCCTACCACTTCCGAGCAACTCTGAGGATGGGCCTTTGGGACAAGAGCCCTGTGTACATGCCACAGGGTTTGAACACCCTCATGGCAAACCCACATTTCCCAATATCCCATGTTCCTGAAGCCTCTTGTCCCAGCTGCACATCTCTCAGAGGAGTCTGCTTCCATCTCCTCTAAGGCCTCCATTAAGAGAACTGAGGCCAGCAGTTAGGTCTCCCTTTAGCTTTCTCAAGGCTGAAGAAAGCCACTAAGCCACTACTCTTGACTTCTCCTCATATGTAATGAAGAACTACAGCTAGGAAAGCCCTCTAAAGGGAGCTTCAGACCCTCTAACTGGCACTACTTGCCACCCCAACAACAGTAACGATGAAGGATGAGATGATCCTCATGGA